AGGATGTTTTAATCTTATCCCCTCCATCAACATACAAAATTCGATTTAAGTTTTAAAAATTCAGCATTCCAGCTGGATGTGGTGACACACACCTGTGATCCTGAACACTCTGGGAAGCTGAGGCTGGAGGATCACAAGCTTGAGCCCAGCCTGTTTTGAGCCTAGGGAAGCTCTGTTGGGTTATCGACAATAGTTACATGGGAAGGCTTTGAGCTCAATCCATAGTAGTAAAAAAAAAAATCAGCATTCCAACCAAGAAGGTTCTTCTTAGACAGTTGGGTGATTTCATTGTTCTGCTTTGGCTCCATTGAGCCTCCCAATGTGAAAGGCCCTGCTCTTGTTCTGTGAATTTTCTGCTCCACAGAGCAACCGAGTTTACTTTTTCCTTAAAGCAAACATTGGAAAGGAGTCACCTTGGTGAGAGGTTTCCCTCATCTTCCTAAGCTGGGTTTACTGGGCTCAGACAGAGGCTGGGGAGTTGGTTCTGGGTCCAGGCCTGCAAGGCTTAGTGGGGGGGGGGTCAGTCTCAGCGGGGGCTCGGCGGATGTTTCAGAGGTCCCATCAAATGACCCTTGTGGGGACACACGTCAGGAGCCTGGGGGCCCCTCCCCTCGCCCCTCACGTTGACTTCTTTCAGCTCTGCCCCTCGCCCTCTGGGCTCCAGACCTGCTGTGTCCACTCAGCAGCCCCACTGGGGTCTCTGGCTCAGCACCGGGGCCCTCCGCCCCCTTCCCTCATGCATCCTCCTCCCAGGTCTGGTGCACAGACCCACATCTCACACACACAGAGTGGGGGGCATCCCAGGCCCTCTGCCTCTCACCACCACCGTCTGCAGTCCCGTCCCTCCTCCCGCCATCCTGTGTCCCCAGCTTCTCCAGTGGCCTCGCTAGTGCATGGTGACCCACTCCCAAACACCACTCCTTGAGTGTGCAACATACTGGTGACCCCCATTATCAAGCCCTGATCATTCAGAACTAAGTGTGCCATGGAGGCCAATCCAAAGATGGCTTCAGAGACGTTAAATCCATGCATTCACCCATGCATCCTCCAGGAGAAAACAGTGCTGTCTTCCAACTTAGAACTCAACGTGAGCACCCATTACAGTTCTAATTTTGGCGGGGGGAGGTACCAGGGATCGAACTCAGGTCCTTGCGCCTGCGCACTGAGCTAAATCCTCGGCCCTACAGTTTGAATTTTTAAAACTGATAATTCATTTTTGTTTTTGAGACAGGATCTGTTTCTATGTAGCCCAGGTTGGCCTCAGACTCGCAGCAATCCTCCTGCCTCAGCCTCCCAAGTACTGGGATGACAGGCATGTGCCACCACGTCTGGCTCTCAATAATTCATTTTTAAACCAGTCGTGATAATACACACCTGTTATCCCAGTAACTTGGAAGGCTGAGGCAAGAGGATCACAAGGTCAAGCCCAACCTGGGTAACTTAGTGACTTAGCGAGACTCTGACTCAAAATTAAAAAAGCACTGGGGATATAGCTCAGTGGGAAGGCTCTGAGTTCAATCGCCAGCAACACAGAAATAAAGAAATGAATGAATAAATAAATACGTGTATTTTTAAGACTGGTATCTCCCCTGGAGCGGAGCAGAGGCTGAGACCTGTAGGGTGGACTGTGGGTGCCCCCCTCCTGGACTGTGAGCTCATTAAAGTGGTGTCCGTGGCTGTCACTTGGCCTCTGTCACAAGCAGCCATGCAGAAATTCTCCATGCTAATGAGAAATGTAAAAATGAGGGTCACTCTGCAGTCAGCCTCCAAAGGGCTTTCACCCGTGGAACCCAAACATGAATGGAAATCTTACATAATGCATAAAGATGCTCAGAATACTTTTTTTTTAAATCCAGATTTATTGAGAGAAAGTAGTGATCAAAAAACACGGAGAAGAAAGTCAGTTCACCTCCAAAATGTCTTGTTTGCAGAGGAAAATCTGCAAGTGTCCTCTGTCTCCTCGGTGAGAAACAGGTCCTCAGATACCAAAACAAACAAGGAGACCCCACGGAAAGAACCAAGTACAGGTGTCCTAGCCTTCATAGCTGGCCAGTGCCTTCTGTGCAGTTACTTTTTCAGTCTACAATCAAAACTACACATGGTTTTCAAACCAAACAGCATGGACTTGTGATGTTTTATTTTGTTTGGTACCGGGGATCAAACTCGGGTCCTTGCGCTTGCAAGGCGGGTGGCGGGACCACTGAGCTAAATCCCCAGCCCTTGTGATGTTGAACTTGATGGTAAATCATATATTTGGGTGGGTTTTTTTTTACTTAAAAGTAAATTAAAACATCACTTTTATAAATGTGGAAAAAGCAAAGATTATTTTATTTTAGAAATCCGCATCATTAAAGATTATAGTAAGATGATCTTTATTATGAAGTCTTCACTCGTGATATTTTTCTCTGTAGAAACCTTTTCACGGTTAAGTGTGGCCTGCGTGTTACTCTGCAGGGGTCGAGATGAAAATGTGGACCAGCTCTTCCTTTTTTGTCTTGGCTCTAGGCTTTTATTATTCCAAAGCTCTGTGAAGAATTACAGTTGTGATCTTGAATATAAACCTGTACTTTGATGCTTCTTCCTCAACTGCAAAGCTTGGTAGTTTTTGTTTTTCCAGTAGATTTTGTGGTTCCACTGGAATTTTAGAGTGATAGAAATATTAAAAACACAACCGGGCAAACACCCTAAAACTCCTTGCCAGCTGTTAAGTAAGAACTATAAATTGACTTGAGTCATGTTACGAATACCCAGATTTGGGAAACTCATGCTGCATGTTTCCTGGTTATCCCAGGCGTCTGTCCTTTTTTTTTTTTGGTACCAGGGATCGAACTCGGGTCCTTGCACTTGCGCAGCAGGCGGCGAAACCACTGAGCTAAATCCCCAGCCCCCAGGCATCTGTCTTGGGGGACCCCAAGTATAGGGGCCTGGGCCTGTGGGCTCCAAAGCCTCCTGAACTTACGGTGGGAGCAGGTCTGCACCCGGAGGCAGGCGGATACCAACTTTGTCTCTGTTTCTGCCACCTATGAACCTCAGGAAGGGAATCACCCATCTTAGCTTCTGAACTCTGGTTTGCCAAGTAAAGTAATTTCTCCTGGCCTGAATCTCAGTTCCTCTCCTGTCTTCAGGTCTCCTCATTTCAGCTGCCCCAGCATAATAAAAGACCTGTGTCTTTTCCTCCACTGCTGTCTTCTTTCAGGGCTTCTGACTTTCAGCATGGCCCTGGGTGGATCCACTGTGATAACCTGAATGTGATTATGAATTAAAATCTCATTTAGTCAGAGCAGTTGGGTCCAAGCAGAGGTGGGGCCAGGGGAAACCATGGAAGAAGGAAGTGCAGCAGGAGCAGGCTGGGGTTGCTGGGGCACAGAAAGGGCAGGACCTCCGCCACCCCTTCCTGTTTGGAGACCTAGGGTGGCAGGGTGGCAGCACTGGGAAGGCCTACCTCTCCTTTAGGGCACCTCGGCTAGTTCATTTTAGGGGCTCAAACCAATACTTTCTGTGAAGTGTATTATTGGACCATAACCAGAATCAATTACGTTAATCATTGACACTTATTAAATTAGCTGAAAAGAATCAGATTCCTGAAAAGACCATGAGCATTTTCAGAGTTTGGTAAATATCCCATGAGAAACGTCCATTTCTGATTTCTACCACATGTTGCCCCAGGATCCCAGGTCACTTTCCCAGGGCTCAGCGCAAAGTGCCAGGAATCTCGTGGCTTCCCAGGATGTGAGCTGGAGACTGGCCTTGGAGCCAGGGTCCCAGGCTGGCCCGTGCTGTGGCTCTGCCTAGCCAGCCTGGCCTCTCCTGGCTGCTGCTTCCAGGGCTCCGAGTACAGCACCCAGCTCTGTCACCCTCTCCTTCTGGCCTGGTCCCTGTGCCTCCATCTCCACTTTCCTCTTTAAAGGACACCACTTACCCTTTCAACTTGGTCACCTCTGTGAAGGTCTCATCTCCAAATAAGGCTGAATCCTGAGGCACCAGGGAGAAGGCTTCAGGATGTAAGTTTAGGGGAGACTTAAAGGCCAACCCTAACCGTTCCTGTTGCTCTCTGAGTAAAGAATTTAAATTTTTCTCTGAATGCCTGGTAAAGACTAAGTTTTCTGTTTATTTTCCCAGTAACTTTCACACGTATTAAATTTAGTTTCTCATTCAAGCTGGAGACGGCCTGATGTCTTCTCCCCAGAGTTCCCTTTAGGACTTTGATGGTGACTCTGTCCTCAAAGCCTTTCTCCTGTGGGCCTAGCTTGAGGCGATTCTGTCTCTCCCCCCAGACCCCCTACCAGCCCACCTCTGGTCTCTCAAGTCCTATCCCTGAAAATGCCTGTTTGGAAACATGGGATAACTTTCCTAACTCACCTGCTGAACTGGCTCGTTGTTACAGGACATCCAGTCTGCCCATCTGTGGTTATGGACATCTGGTCTACCTGTCTGTGGTTATGGGGACATCCGGTCTGTCATTTGTGATTATGGGACATCAGGTCTGCTAATGTGTGGTTATGGGGTCATCTGGTCTCTCCATCTGTAGTTACGGACATCCAGTCTTTCATTTGTGATTATGGGCTATCTAGTGTCTGTGGTGATGGACTTCCTGCCTAAGCTCCTTGGAGGTGACGCTGCAGAAGGTAGCTGAGGAATAGGTCGGTTCCAGTTCATGAAACAATCACTGTGCTCTCCCAAGTGTCGCACGTTTCAGAGCAAGCGTGGCTTCCTTCTTGAACATGGGCAGACCTTTTACTTGTGTACCTTATCCTGAGACTTCCTGACAGTACTTTCCAGTCAGCCAGGGGTGGGATGTGTAGGTAATGTAATTTTATTGTCTCGCACTTACTGTTTGGACAGATTTCTTCAGTTTTCTGTCACTCACATAAATATTCATACGGGGACAAGGGATCATCCAGGACGTGTCCTGAGAAATTTAATTTTTTAAACACCTTCTCCTCATTTTAAAACCTACTGTGGTTTTCTCTCATACAAACGAATTTCTTGTTTCTTTGCAGGGACCTTCGCTTTAACAGAATTAGAGAGATTCAGCCCGGGGCATTCAGGCGGCTGAGAAACTTGAACACACTGTAAGTTGAAACTTTGGATGGGGAACCCAAAGGGGAAAGATAAAAGATAAAACCAAGTCCTGGTGCCATTTCCTTGCAGCTGACGGGAGTGCTGTGGTCACACCTGACACACTCCCCTCTGCTGAGCAGGCTGTGTGGGGACAGTGAAACTGGGTGGGGGTGACCATGTGCACACTGAGTCCCAGGACTGTGCAGCCCACCCATCATGTGTGCCCTCTGTGTGCCCATCTGCATGGGCAGTGAGGTACCATAACAACAGCTCCTACCTTGCCCCGGGCTGGTGATCGCCCCGAGTCCCTTGTTCGCTTGCTGGGCCAGGGTTGCTCTCCTTGCACTGCAAGGTGCAGCAGAACAGAGCTTTTCCTGCGCTTGGTGTGGATGCAGGCAGGTCTTCAGTCCACCCAGGTCCAATACAGACCTGGACCTGCGCCTCCTTGAACACACCAAGCACCATGGGAAAGAGGTTTGCCCTCAGCATTAGGACTCAATATTTGGCCTTTGTGCAGGCAAGCAGAACCAGGAACCAACCAAGTCCCCATGGAAAGCAGGGCAGGGCATGTGGTGACTCTGGACACCGGTTCCATATCCATGGGAACCAATGGTGTGGGCTTCTAGTGACCCCCCTTCAGTGTGGTCTCTGGCCAGGCCCTCCTGTGCTTCCAGGGCTGCTGCAGAGGCCCAGTCTCAGCTCAAGTGGGAATCAGAGGTTTCAGGACAAAGATACACACTGGTTTGTACAGGAGAGAGGATTGGTTCCTCAGTGTGTGAGAAGGTGGAACGTGCAGGGTAGGTGGAGACACACTACTGGGGCAAACTAGCGACCATGAGGGTCACATGCTGCAGTTTCTTGGGTGATGGATGATGCTGGTGCTTTGTGAAGGCCAGTTCAGCTCTGTGGCTCGGTCGTTTTGTGATCCCCGTAGTTTCAGGACTGTTTTCCTTGGCACCATTTAGAAGTGTTTTCTTTTCAAGTCCTGTCACATTTCTTTCTTAGGCTTCTCAACAACAATCAGATCAAGCGGATACCCAGCGGAGCATTTGAGGACTTGGAGAATCTGAAGTACCTGTAAGTTGATGATCAGTCTCTCTCTGTACGTAAATGTTTGGTGTGACCGTGCCTTGTGTGCTGTGTGTGGCTTTCTGTGCTTGCTCCATTCCAGGACTTATATTTCCAGAAGGGGAGTGGAGTTTGGCTGGGAGTTTTAAAGGGGCTGTCATCAGGATAAAGTGCCACGTTCTGTGACCATGTCGAGTCACAAAGCCGTGGGTAAGACACACAGGGTGCAGTTCCCATGCACCACCGCCCAGTGACAGTGATGCTTTTGGGGACAGAAGGTGACAACATGATCAGTGATGCACAGCCGATCTGTGTGCTGCTGAACATAAGCCCTCACTTTCTTCCAGCTGTAGGGGAGCATACAGTGTGAATTGTTAATTTCCTTGGAATGTCATCACTTCCTGCTAATTTCTCATCTTCCCCAGTTTTATCTTTTTATCTAGTTAACTTTTTTTAATTGATTTAAATTAATTTGTTATCATTCAGAACATCTACTTGCTGAAGTTAGTTTTGTAGTTTAGAAAAGGACTTCCTGCTGGGCGCAGTGGCACAGGCCTATCATTCCCAGCACTCAAGAGGAGGAGGCAGGAGGATTGCCAAGAGTTCAAGGCCAGCCTGGGCTGTGTAGTGCGCTCAAGGCCAGCTGAACTACATAGTAGGACCCTAACTCAAAAAAGAAAAGAAAAAAATTTCCCTTCAAAAGCACTGGCTTAGTACCCTTCCCACGCATTTATTTTAAGTTGGGAAAGATCTGAAGACACGTTGGGGTTACATAGATTACATCCTGGGTCTCACGGAGGTATGTGTCCCTTGGATTTAGCAAATTGCTCTTCTTTTTAGGTCATAAATAACTTTCCAAGGAGAGCTATTTCTAGTGATATAAACTTATTAGAAATTCATGTCATAACTAAACCTGAATATTTTAAGCTGATTTTTAAAACTCAGCTATTTTTTATTGCTGATACATATCTTAAAATCCACTCTGATTTTAGATGTTTCAGTGGTTCCTAGTTATAGACCTGCCTTTTACTTTATGAAAATATATTTTCCTCAATAAAAATGTAATGTATAAACTTTCCTGTCATCTTTTGGCATGGAAAGCTAGTCTTTATTGTGTGAATGTTGCTAAGCCTTGCTACTGGTTGTGATAATCTAAGGCCAACTTTGTTTATCCTGAGTGTGTTTGTGTGTTTATCTCCCGTTGTGGTTGTTAAGTGCTGTGCAGGTTCCAGAAGGAAGCTTTGGTTTCCTGGATAGCAGATGCAGTTAGATGGTAGTCAGCATTCAGGGCATGTGCGTGTGCGTGTGTGCGCGTGCATGCGTGTGTGTGCGTGTGTGTGTGTGACTGGTTTTATTTGTTGCTCTTGGTTTTAAATCAATTAAGAGCAACTTGTGTACTCCGCGAATGCATTCCTGTTGGGAAGTTGGGGACACCATTTTTTGGTTTTGTTTTGGTTTTTGAGATAGGGTCTCGCTATGTAGTTTAGGCTGGTCCTGAACTCATTTTGTAGCCAGGCCCACCTTGAACTCCCAGTGCTCGTCCTGCCTCAGCCTCCTGAGAGCTGGGACCACAGGCGTGCGACCCCACCCCCAGTTCACAAATCTCATTTGAATAATACCTCTGACCTCACTGTTGACCACTTGCTGTCTGCCCATCCCCGCTTTGACCCCTTCCCCGCCTCTCAGGGCCTAGATGACACAGACGACTGGGGTGGGGATCGTCCTGGGACGCAGGTGGCGTCCTGGTGCCCACCCAAGCGACATGCAGGTCTAGGCTTCCGGGTCCCATTGGTAGAGCACATTTGGGTCATCATCGTCCTAGGACTGATTTCCAGTGTCAAGAACTCTGCTGGGGCTATGGATGTGGCTGAGTAGTGGAGCACTTGCCACCTAGCGTGTGCAAGGTCCTGTGTTCATCCCCAGCACCACACACACACACACACACACACACACACCCCTTCTGAAATCTGTCAGTTATCTCAGCCTTGTGTGTGTGTGGTCAGGGCTGAAGTCTGTTTTTACACAGTGAGGAGTCCTTCTTCCCCGGGACCTCACTTACTTCTGACTGGACACCAGTCTTCCCCTTAGTTCAGGTTTCCTGATGACGAAATTGATTCTCGAGAATCAGGAGTCAAAGGGTCAACTCTGATCAAGTAAGAAACTGCAAGTGATTATTAGAAATCTTCTTAAAACGTTATGAAAACCAACCTTGCTCCGATGTCTCTATGAGCAGACATTCATGCATGCTCCTGCGAGTCTGTTGTTTCACATATTCTTCAGAAGGATTCTTCTCCTGTCCGTTTCTACAAGCTTGTGCAAATCAAGGTTCTCGATGACATTTTAAGAAGTAGTCAGAGAGCTCTCGTCCTCCAGACCGAACCTTCCATAGAGGAAATATTAGTACCTCACCAAACTGCAATCTCGGTCACGGGGTCACAGTCAGGAGCTTCAGATGAGGCCTGTGGTCCCATTTTACTGCAGAGAAGACAGAGGTGCAGCAGGGTCGACCTCTGACATACGGTCACACAAGCAGCAAGGGGGCTTCAGCAGCCTGGAGAGCTAACTTCCTACCAGGCTGTGTTGTGGGTGCCGTGCTGCGGATCCGGGGAGCCCTGGCCAGTGTGTGTTCCGGCCTGCAAATCTGTGCGGTCACCTCAGCAAATCTGCAGGGGGAGCCACAAGACAGATTGCAGCAGTTACAGAGAGCAGACCAGGCCCCACTGAAATGGGTCCTTGCCAGGCATTCATTACAATAGGGTAAAACCCTCGGCCTTCCTGGAAGTGACACACCAGGGCGAGTGTCTGAAGGGGCCCGGCCGCCCACCCCACCAAGGTGGCTGTGGTGTTTCCTGGGGTTGTGCAGGGAGTGGACCCGTCTTTGCCCTTCACAGTCAGCGCAGGCACACAGGGCCAGATGGGATGAGACTCAGCGTGCCACGGCCACTCCGCTGTCCCCATAGCCTGGGCCCAGCTGTACACAAGACACGGAAGGATATGTGTTCATCATGTTCTAGTGAAACTTTTATGGACTCCAAAATAGGAATTTCCTATACTTTGGGATTCTCGTGTAAGAGAAACTGTGATATTTGCGCTTGTGTGTCTTGATTTAATTTACTGAACATTATGGTCTCCAGATGCATCCATTTTCCTGCAAATGACTAAAGTTTATCCTTCTCTGGGTTTTGTTGTTGTTGTTGTTGTTGTTTATGGTTTTTTGTTTGTTTTTTTGGTACCGGGGATTGAACTGAGGACCTTGTGGTTTCGAGGCAGGCAGTGGCAAAACTGAGCCAAATCCCCAGCCCTGAAATTTATCCTTCTTTGTGGCACAGTAGTACTCCATTGTGTGTAAATACTGCACTTTTTTAATCCATCCATTCATGGACGTATATCATTTAAAATTGAAAAGTCCATTTTCACTTTGCAAGCTGTGAGAACACAGGTCATGGACCTTTATGAGTGGGGTTCTGGGGGCCGCTCATGGCATCCCCAGGCTCCCTGCTGTCTCTGCACCATTGGTTCGAACCATGTCAGCGTAACCTTATTATACTCGATGTCTCGTACACATGTGGGGAGTGGTTCTGTGCTCTCCAGAGCAAGTGTGGTGAGCGGTTACAGGCTGTAGGAGAGCCATGGCCCCTGACCACACAGCCCACGACAGCCACCTCCCACTCACCGGCTGAGGACAGGAGGGAGGGCCCTCCAGATCAGCCCAGGCTGCTGTGTCATGTTTGCCTGCGCTGACGCAGTTGTGAATTGAAAAGCGTCTCCACGTGTCCACTCAGTTCCTCCTCTCCATGTGAAGGGCCGCCTCGTGTGTATGCTAACCCTCTTCCGTGTTTCTTGTTTCAGCTATTTGTACAAGAATGAGATCCAGTCAATTGACAGGCAAGCGTTTAAGGGACTTGCCTCTCTAGAGCAACTGTAAGTGTCCCTCCTCTTCCGTGCCCGCTTTCTCCGACGTCCTGCCTTTGCCCCCTGTAGGAGAGGGATGAAGTGCGCTGCTGCATGGTGCATGTCCGCACGGCCGGGGGCAGGGAGGCTGTGCATGGAGAGGAGAGCAGCCCCAGGCCCCGCCCCCCCCCCTGCCCGAGCATCTCTCACCTCCCGTGGGTCCACCCTGCGTCCCCCACAGCACTCCCTGGGTGTTTTCTATGCACCGGACCCTGGGCCGTGCATTCACCCTTCCAAGATCAGTTATCGATTGTTTCCCTGTCTCATGCTAAAAACTGTAGTGCTGGCCAGACGTGATGACGCACGCCCATAATCCCAACACTCTGGGAAGCTGAGGCAGAAGGATCCCAGTTCCGGCTCAGCCTGGACACCTTAGTGACTTAGTGAAACCCTGTCTCAAAATAAAACAGGTCTGGGGATGGAGCTGAGTGCAAAAACCCATGGTTCAATCCCCAGTACTGCAAAAAACAAGCAAACAGACAAAGCAGAAAACCTGCAGGGCTCACATTTTCATGGAACAGATGCACAAACGAGGAAGCCCAAGTAAAGCCTCTGAGGCAGTGGTGTCTGGGGCCGCCTGGGGCACGAGGCTATGTACCTCACACCCGTGTCCCCATGGTGACTTTCATGCATGGTCTAATGCCTTCTGTGGCAACGTCATTCTCTGAGGAAACCAGCTCTGTCCCGCCGCATGCTCCCCGTTACTAGTGTTGGTGTAACCAAGTGCACCCTGCTCTTCGGCCAGGCCCAAAGTTGTGCTTTGTGGTGTAGCCAGTGTGGACTTTGTGGTAGCAAGTTCGGTGAAATGAAGGGTTTTTTCTGGCTTGTTTGCCAGGCCCATCATAGGCATCTTCAGACTTCCACGGTTTAATTTATGGATGGGAAACGTCTATTTAGTGGACTCAGCAACAGCCCCTGCCCAGCTGTGTTTCATGCCCTCCCGCTTCCCCTGCACGTCCTGGTTTGTCCCCTGTGATAGTTGGAAAGAAGCCATGTCCTCTGTGCCTGGAGAGGGTGGAGCAGCAGCAGAGCTCAGGCCTGGAAAACATGCTGGCCCGGGTCACAGACCAGTTAGTCCTGGGGCAGCAGGATCTTCGGCGGTTTTGGGACTTGAACCCAGGCCTCATGCATGCTGGGCAAGCACTCCACTGAGCTGCGAGACCTCGCAGGGAGCAGATTACAGTCCCGTGACCCTGTGCAGTCTGGAGACCTGGTGCTCTTGGGCTTTGTTGGGGCGCAGTGTGAGAGGAGGAGGTGAAAGGGGAGAGCAGACATTTGCAAGGGACCCAGTGGGCTCTGCCCAGGTGACAGAGCCGTGTCCCCAGACAGTGGCTGCCCGGGAAGTGAAGCCTGGGCAGGTGTGTGGAGTCCCCGCTCTGGGATGTGGGCATCCAGGGGGCAATGGCAGGACTCCAGCTGGCACTGGCGGGGGAGATCAGCCCCACAGAGGCCTCGAGCACCATCTGTAGCTAGGGACAGCCCCTGCTGATTTGGGGGAACTTAGAGCCCCTCTCCACCCCTAATGTTAGAAAATGTGGTTCCTACCAGGGAGCCTGAGAAGCATGAGGCCCCAGAGCCGGCTGGGTATGGTGCTTGGAATCCTGGCACTCTTGAGAAGCTGAGGCAGGAGAGTCAACAGTTTGAGCCCAGCCTGGACAACTGAGCAAGACTCTATCTCAAAGAATAAAAAGGGTTGGATATGTAGCTCAGTGCAAAGGCCTTAGATTCAGTCCCCAGGGCGGTGGGTGGTTGTGGAGAGAGGGAGCTTGCCAGACCATCAGGTCTGAACTCAGCAGTGACCCTGGGTTCTTGGGGAAGTATCTTCCTGTTTGCGGTACCCTCCGCTGTCCATGGTGGTGTGGTGGTGCCCAGGGCTGCTGTAGCCCAGCCTCTCTAGGGTCCTGTGGATCCCGACAGCAGCCATCCCTAACACCTGTGATCTCGGAGTGCCACCAGCTGCCTTCCCAGATGGCCCCCACCAAGCCAGGTAGAAAGAATTTTAGGCCAAACCACTCCCCCTGGGGCTTGTGTGCCCACCTTTTCCTTCCTCCATCACCCCCAGCCTGGCCTGCCATGTCCCCCTGCCCACCTGTGCCTTTGTGCTGTGGTCCACTCCTGGCACAGATGGGCCCTATGATGAGGACTGAGGATGTCTGTTTGTGTCTCTTTTGGGATCTTTAGATCAGGTGCAGGCTGTGTTTTCTCTGCTCCACTCCCTCCTGGTCCCGCATCACCGCCCCTGTGTCCCTCTGATGGAGGGGCCCAGAGCTGGTTTTGCCAGGGGATGGAGTCAAAGTTTGGGGACACTGAGGTGACAAACAGCAATTTCAGTCTTAGAGCCATCCCGAGCATGAGGTTGGGGAGCCATGCTTGTGTTGGACATGTGGAGGCCCTGATGCCACACGTTGGTTCTGGTGCCCCTTTGGTGTCTTTGAAGGAGGCCCTGTCCCTCGCCGGTGTGGCCAGGTCCCTGCTGAGACTCCCTGCGAGAAGGGCAGGGGATGCAGTGTTTCACAGCAGAAGACAATCCACCAGTCTCCAAAGTGTATTCAGAGAAGTTGGAAGAAAGGAGCTCTGCCAGAAATCCCTAAGCAATAGGAAGTAAGGAGACATCTTCAAAGAAAAGACCCATAGGCTGGGTGTTTTATGTGACAGAGGACAGCCGAAGGGACATTATTCTGTGTCTCTCGGTGGCGTTTTCTCTAAGTCTGCTGTGGCTGTCCATGTGTCTGACGTGCACACAGTGCGTGATCTAAGGTCCACAGCCTTGCCAGGTCCACACAGCAACTGGAAGATGCAAGTGTAGGGATTCATGTCCAGAACCACATGTTGCCTTTGAGTTGTGTCTTTAGCTTTGTTTCTGTTCAATTTCCTTGTATTTTGTAGTGAGTGTGTCGCGGCTCCAGGGTCTGTTGTGGAACCAGGGAGACCTGTCCAGACTGGAGTTTCCCATGTGTCACACTGTGTGTGGTCGCCTGTGCCTGATTTTGGGTGTCTTTAGTCTTCCTGTTTGTTGATGTCCATGGAGTCGGCTGTGCACAGTTACTATTGACATATGAGTATGAGTGACCTGGAAAAAGCTTTTTAAGCACAAAAGCTGGGCCTGAAAAGGTCATTAAATTGTTAAAATCACATTTCTTTTTTTAAACTCCTCTAGGTACCTGCACTTTAATCAAATAGAAACTCTGGACCCAGAATCATTTCAACACTTACCAAAGCTTGAAAGACTGTGAGTTGTGTTGTGTTCTTTAGTTTTGTATTTTTCGGTCCTGGGCCCAGTCCACTCGTGGTTTTCTTTGATAGTCAGGACAGCATGTGCCAGAGGCCTGCAAGGAGTCTGAGTGTACGACCTGCCTTCCTGGCTTAACAAGTCAGAAGGCGGACTTGCAGTTTTCTCTTCAGGTGGACACGGAGATAAAATTAAAAATACAATTATTTTTCTAGACTAAAAAAGTCCAGTTTCTAAATTCATTAGCATGCCATCGGGGTAATCAACAAGACATTTTTAAAAAGCTGGTGTAAAAAAAAAAAAACCTGATGTATTTGATAGCTCCGACTCTGCTTTATCTAAGAATTATTTTTTTTAAATTGGTTTATTTTTTTTTTTCAACAGATTCTTACATAACAACCGGATTACACATTTAGTCCCAGGAACATTTAATCACTTGGAATCTATGAAGAGACTGTGAGTATAACCCCTGCTGTGTAGCTTTGCTGGGAATCTGTTACACACTCAGCTGGGTCTCTCTGCCGGGCACTGGGAAGTGTTTCTAGGAGTCAGGAAAACGTTAGGAAAGAGGCTGTGCACAGCTTACGTCCGTCCTCATGCAGAAGGGTGAGTAAGTGACGAGAATATGAGAATAAGCTAAGCCACTTCAAAATTACCTGTAAATTCCTTGCATTAACTTCTAATTCCATAGCACATTATTTCACTGGGGGAAATGGGCTCTGTCTACAAAAAGCCTCCACTGTATTCTGTTCCTTTCCCTCACCACAGGCTTGAGTCAGACTGCAGCTGACTGAAGCCTTCTCCCTTGTTTTCAGGGCCCCCAAAATAATTTTTTTTATGCGGAGACATTCTTTAATAGAATCAGGGCATTCAGATGCTGATGGAGAGGTTATTTGACATCTGTGTCTGCCTTAAGGTCTCGAAGGCCCACTTCTCAGTTAGACATAGAGCCATCCAGCATCTACAATGACCTTCTAGACCCAGACACAAAGCCCAGAGAAGCCGTTGCACTCCCTGAGCAACTTCTGTGTGTCTGTTTTCTCTCTTCAGTGAGATAAAATGGAATAAGACACAGACCTTTGTATAGTTTTCTTCTTTAGAACTTAAAAAACAAAAACCACCAGCCATACTAAGATCTGCATTCTAAGTGGAAGAAAGGATGAATACTTCCATGTTAGAAGGATTAACAGGGGAGGAAGAAATTGCCAGATAAATAGAAAATAACCAAGCCAAGCTCAGGCAGAGGGCCGGGACTCTGGGGTGCATCAGCCCTCAGCTGTCTGTTCCTAGCTCCTCCTGGGTGCCGGGCAAGGTCCCTTTCCAGATGCGGCCTGCCATCTACCCTGACACTGTTCTTCCCACTATTTTCTTGCTCTGTGTTGCTCAAACGAGGCCCTAGATTTGGACTTAGTGTCAGACAGACTCTGTCCATCCAGAGTTGTCTCTAAGCCCTGAGCCCAGAGGGCCTCACTGAACTCCTCTCTTCCGGGTGCAGCGGCTGTGTCCCTCTGTGTGCTCACAGGGCAGGCAGAACTGGCTGGGCGCTGCCTAGGTGACTACCCACCGTTGCCCTGCGCTGACCTTCAGGGTCCTGGGACTCAGCCATGGCACAGCGGGTCACTTGCTGGTGCCCTAGTGGGTGGCTGTCACATCCTCTGGTGGCCTCCTTCCCCTGGATCTGCATCCTGTCTGCTACCTGCTTGCTGGAAGAGGCCAATGCCCAGCCCAGGCAACTCTGTGTCCTGGTCCCCACCGACCTAATGCCCTAGAGAGATGCAGATGGGTGTGTGGTCCCCCGGGGAACTGGGCCTGGAGATGGACCTGAACTCCAACCCCAGTGCTGGGCGAGCTCCTGCCGGGCTCTCGGTGGTCTGCCTGGGTGTGAGTCACTTCCCGGGGTGCACAGGAGGTGGTACCAAATGTCTCTGCCTGGGTCCTCCTTGTGCCTTCTGACCATGCAGACCCTGCCGCCTTTCCCAAGGTGTAGGAACCTCCTGTCTCTGAGTCGGGTGCCAGGCTTTAGGGGACCCCAGAAGCGTGGGACCTCACCCCACAAGCAGATGTGCCCTCGGGGACATGTGGGGACTGAGATGACGGGGACCCCATGTACCCTGGGGTGATGAGGGGCCGGCAGCAGGGAGGCTTTGTGGGTTGTACCTTTATTGCTGACTTACAGGAACTTCTCCCACTCACCCAGCCCAGGCTCGCCCGTTTTGACTCAGAACCTGACCCAGTTTCAGACTCTGTGCTGGGAACCCCACCCACCACAGGCCCAGTGCTTGGGGGACCCAGTGTGCCGGGCACCTTGGTCCCCCATGACTCCTGGGTCTCACTGGCTGCCCCCTCCCCAGTCGGCTGGACTCGAACGCACTTCACTGCGACTGCGAGATCCTGTGGCTGGCGGATCTGCTGAAGACCTACGCGCAGTCGGGGAACGCGCAGGCAGCGGCTACCTGCGAGTACCCCAGACACATCCAGGGCCGCTCGGTGGCCACCATCACCCCGGAGGAGCTGAACTGTGGTGAGAGGCCAGGCTTGTCCCCGGTTGGTGATGTGTTGAGCCTGGTGTGTGTCTTGGCCGTCACAGGCCAGGTCTGCCTGTGGACCTGGCTGTGGTGTCTGAGAAGCCATCTGAGCATCTGGTCCCGGCCTAGGTTTTGTTCAGGGTGCCCTGCGGGAATAAGCAGAGCCCACTGCGCACCGTGACCAGGCTGCAGAGCCTGACCAAGCCCACCTGAGGGTGATTGTGGGTGGCCCGGGGTGGGGTGTCCACCAGAAATGCGCCTGAGGGGCTAGCTTGGGCCTGGCCAGGCAAAACTTACCTAAAAGAAAGCAAAATCAAGTCATACCACAGGGCACAGTCTTCTTTTTAAACACCCAAATCCAAATTCCAAACTGCTGTTCAGCTTCCTCCTCTCCTTTAATTCATTTTTTTTTCTTTTTGGCACAAAAGTTAATTTTTCAGTGCTGGGCATGGTGGTGCACACCTGTAATTCCAGCACTTGGGAGGCCAACTTAGGAGGGTCACCATGAGTTCAAGGCCAGCCTGCAGCAAAAAAAAAAAAAAACAGAGGAAGTATTTCAGTTCTTCATCCCAAGCATCACTGATATTTTTAACAGAAAAAGAACACGAATGAAAGTGTGAAATCAGTACATTTCATGAGTGGTCCCACCAATCATGGGACACACATTGGTCACCATTATTTTCTTTGTAACCGTGAGCCTAGCCCAGTTTTCAGTCTCCTTATGTGAAGAGGTGACTGACTTTGGTGGCGTTAACTGCAAGCCGCCCGTAGCACGAGCGTTTGTTACCTTGGTGTCTGGTGTCTGGGTCCCTGCGCCCTTTGTGCTGGCCGGACTTCCTGAGGTGCCTGGAGGCGGTGGGTCTGAGTGTGCAGGTGACCCATTCTTGGATCCCGAAGGGACGCCTGGCTGGGGCACCATCCTTCTGGCACCAAGCAGTACTAGCAGTGGTGACTGCGCCTTGCACCTGTGAGATGTCAGCTCCCATGCAAGGTGCTGCAAGCACGTGTGCACCCATGCTCATGGGTGTGTTTGTGCTTTCTTTTCGGGGCTCACAGTGTGCATGTGGCAGACAAGTGAGTACCTGGCAGCCTGGGAGTGACCAGGTAGAGGGGCCGAGGCTTCATGCCGACCCTGCCCACAGACTGGGTCCTGGGAGCCGTCCACAGCGGGGTGATTGGGATGGGGAGGATGACAGGAGGTTGCATGCTCCGAGAGGGGCGTGTGGAGTCCTGAGCCTGGGCCACCGCGCTGCCTCAGCGTCAGGGCTCTGTGCTCTTGGGAGGACACAGCTCCCGAGCAGGCGTGCTGTTCGCCACTCCTTCCTCAGTCCCTGGAGAGAGTAACTGTGACACCCACTCAGCACTGGTGGTGCCCCTGCGGGTGTGGAAGGACCACAGGATCTGTTAGGTCTGGTCTGCAGGGTCCCCATGGCTGTGTCCCCGGGTGGAGAAAGCGTGAGTGTCTGCACCAAAGGACAATCTCTGTGGGGACATTTGTGGCTGGACATTCTGGTTTTGTCTTGACCAAGAGATTCGGTCTGGGGTCTCGTGTCCGCCCCCTTCCTGGTTTAGACTAAGAAAGTCTCCTTTCTTTGTTGGGTACAGAAAGGCCCCGGATCACCTCAGAGCCACAGGACGCAGACGTCACCTCAGGGAACACGGTGTACTTCACGTGCAGGGCCGAAGGCAACCCCAAGCCTGAGATCATCTGGCTCCGGAACAAGTGAGTGTTGTGCAGGGTGTTGCAGAGCCGGCAGAGGTTGCTGAGGTGCTGAGAGTGTCACCTTTCCTGAAGTCCGATCCGGACACCCTGTGTCTCAGTACCGTGTGTCTCAGACACCGTGTCTCAGTACCCTCCCCGAAGTGGGCAAGGTTAAGGGGGCACTGGGCTCCCCAGTTCTACATGACAGCTGGGCAGGAGACACTCCTACCCCCAGGCCCTGTGCCCAGGACCCTGTGCTCAGTGGGGCCTTGGCCCTTCCAGCCCTGGTCCTGCCCTGGTCCTTCGTGGAGCTCTTCAAAGGGTAGGAGCTGGGGGAGGCTGTTCATCTCTACCATTCCCCTCTGGCAGGATTCTGGTGTGAGCTGGCTCTGGACCCGGGCCAGGTGACAGGAGCCAGCGAGCTGAGGACCTGCCCTCCACAGTGTGGGCGTCACATGACCACGGGGTTAGAGACAGAGGCCTAGGCAGAAATGGGGTTGGGTCACTGGGGACAGCTGGGGTCCTCTGTGGCTGGGTCTCTGTGTGGCACCTGGGGACAGGTCCCTGTCTGTGTGAAATGAAGCTCACAGAAACCTACGGGGAGCCCCCCAAACTCTGGTCAGCCACCGAAACACTGACCCTGTCATCTACCCCTCCCGCGAGGGCTGGATCCCAGAGCAGAAGGTTCCAGTCAAGCAGTGGCACAGAGGAGATGAACGTGACAGCTGCCAGGTGGCATTCGAGAGCGAGGGGCGCACAGGCTAAAGCTACATCTGCCCTGTGGAGACCTCAAAGCTAGTGCCAGGGTGCAAGGTCACCCTGACCTTGAACAGGGCTGTGCAGGGAGGATGGAAGGTGACCTGATGAGTTCGCTGAGATTTGAAATCCAGAGAGAGAGCACTGGAGGAACTCTCAGGGAGGCTGTACCTCAGTGGTAGGGAAAGTCTCAGAACCAAGTGTGGCAGACCTGGGCTGAAGTCCTGAGCCTGACCTCTGGTGCTCTCTCTGCCATCCGCCCACCTGTGTCCCTCTCTTGGGGACCTCCAGATGGTTCTCTGACCGTCATGGGGGACCGAGTTTGGTCAGGCTTTCCCTGCCTGCTTCTTGGAAAACTGAGGCGCAGGAGTGCCCAGCACTGAAGGTGATGCCTGACCTGGAATGAAGGGTGTGGGCTGGAGTTCTTAACATGGCTTTGTGGTCCCAAGCGCTGGCACCCAGGGGCTTCCCCAACTGCCTGACTTTCCCAGGTGGCTCCTTTGGGACCTGGTTTTTTTATTCTCTCGTGATTGGAGTTATCAGACCTCACCTGTAAGCTCTGTGTGTGCTTCCCAACAAAAGGAGCAAAGCCAAGTCATGTGGGCAAGGGATGAGCAGGGGACCAAGGCGTCACCTGTGTGATGTGGGAGGAGCCTCCCGCCCCCAAGAGAACAAAGACGCAGGAACTCTGAGGGCCGGGACCTGGACACCGAAGCATTGAGGTTGTCTGGAATGATGATGTAGCACCCTAAGTGCATTGCACATCCCAGAAGGGACCCAGCAGCAGTGTGTAGCTGGTTCAGTTTTCATTTTTTGTATTTTGGCTCAGGGTATTGCTGTGTGGCCCAGGCTGGTCTGGAGTTCACAGGCTCAAATGATCCTCCTGCCTCAGCCTTCTGAACAGCTGGAACTAGAGATGCGCACCACCCTGGCTCCATTATCTTTAAAAATATAAGTGGATACATGAGTATTCTTTTGCTTTTAATAATGTAAAAATGAACTGGCACCTTTTCCTTTTGATTGAATCAACCAGAAACAAAAGAGAATGTTTCCTTTGTTTTTCTCCACTGTGTTTAGTTTTTTTCCTTTGGAGTTAGGAGTACCGCAAAGCGTCTAGATGGACAGATTGGATGCGTGAATTGGGTAGAGGTCCAGGTACACGGGTTCTTTCCCAGAAATACCTCCAGCTCAGAGGTGGACGATCCCTGGGAGGCCAGTTCTCAGCCCTCTTGTGTCCCCTGAGAGCCACCTGAGCCCTCCCCCAGGGGTAGACAAAGATCTCCTGGCCTTTGGACCCTCACCACCCCCAACTCTGTCTTTCTAGTAATGAGCTGAGCATGAAGGCAGATTCTCGCTTAAATCTGCTGGACGACGGCACCCTCATGATCCAGAACACGCAGGAGACCGACCAGGGCATTTACCAGTGCATGGCCAAGAACGTGGCCGGGGAGGTGAAGACACAGGAGGTGACCCTAAGGTACTTCGGGTCTCCAGGTACGTGTAAGATCACCCTGTCTGTCTCCTTCCTTTCCTGCCACACCAGCTTGCTCTTGTAAGAAACATGAAGATCGCAGAGCCAGGACTGGAAGTTGCTGTACCAGGGTTGGCCTGCAGGGTCACGGGCGATCCGTGAGGGTTGCTGTGGCCCATGGTGGCCCCTACATCAGGGGAGGCTCAGGGGACCATCCCACAGTCCAGCCCGCCCACCCTGCCCTGTCTGGGAGGCACCTGTTCAACACCTGACAGCTGGTGCTGCTGGGTAGTGAGTGAGCTTTTGTTGGCCAAGGGCCTTGATCACTTAAAAGAAGAGAAAAATACTGGTCTTTTATTTAACGTTACACCTTGCAAAATGTTGGCACGAAATTTTGAAAATGAGAAAAATCTGACTCAGGCAGGGAGAGCGTGGCTATGACCACCTCCTCTGTGGTCGCGAATTCGGCTCTGAGCCCTGAGTTCCAGTTTCTGGTATGGTCAGCAGAGGAACCAGGAGGGCAAGTCTGTGTCCACCACTGCCCCCAGACGATGGGGTCACTGTGGTCCCCTGCTGGGCCTCAGGTGACCATGTGCAGATATAGGGCCACAGTCCTGCCCCAGCTGGTCTTAGCTCTGTCCGCAGTGCTCAAGGGCTGGTGTCACCCTGTATTTTATATTTCAGGCCATGGTGTGTGGGTCCAGGTTTGTGTCTTTGTTTAGATGCTTAAAAATTGGCCTGATCTTTGCCACACTGCTGTAGCCCATCCTAGATACAGTAATGAATGAACATTCTGAGCTAGCAGATTCTACCCAGAGGAAATCGAGAGGCGGTTATTGCTGCCGGAGCAATGCCCTTAGACACATGGTGCTCCACAGTTCTGCACAAGGCAGCTAGCATGTCTGCAAAGCCGTACAGAGACGCAGCTCCTGCCACCTGTAGAAGGAGGCTGTGCTGCATTTGTAAGGCATAAAATAATCCCTGACTCGGTAGTGCAGTAAGACAGCGCTACGAGTACTTGGGATAAAACAAAAGAGGTGGTGAGAAGAGTTTTAACATTTCTCAGTGTCCGAAACTCAAGAATATTTGATGACACAGGACAATTACGTGAAATGATTTCAGTGTCTAGGAATTCGTTTTTTGGTTGTTTTTGGTTTTGGGGGCGTTTTTTGGTATTGTGGATCAAACTCGGGACCTTGCCCTTATGAGGCAGGCAGCGGAACCACTGAGCTAAATCCTGGCCCTAGGAATTAGGGTTTATTGGAACATAACCATACTCTTTCTTTATTGTATTGTCTGTGGTGGCTTTTCCACTGCAGCAGCAGAGTTAAACACCAGCACAAAGCCTGTGGCCTCCACAGTCCCTAGGGCATCCTCAGGCCCCACACAGAGATCTCATGCACTCCATCCCACACGAGGCACTGTCCTGTAGCACCAGGAGCAGGGCAGCTTGTAAGTTTCCCTGGGCCACAGGGGGGCAAATACCTGGTTTTAAGGTCTGTAATAGAAGTTTGCAGTTTTCATTTTCCTGGTTAATTGAACTGTTGATGGTCAAATTAACTATTGTTTTTCATCTTCTATTTCCCACTACTACTTTGGGAGGTTAGTGGTTATCCTAGACATTTGAAATGTATTCTTAAATTACTGAAATCCAAAGCTACTGTCTGTCATTGTCTACAAAATACAGCCACCTGTCTTCGTTTATTTGCTATGTGAGTTTTCGTGTATTTTTTAATCTATGAAACATTGTTTTGTTCTCTCCTGTTTTGCTTCCTCTTTCACCCTCCTTTCGTGTTCCCCTTATTTCTCTCCTCCCTGCCTCCCTCCTATTCTTCCTCCTTCCCTCCTTCCTTCCCGCTCCTTCCCTCCCTCAGTCCTCTTTCTCCCTTCTCCTTTTCTTCTTCCCTCTCAGCTCTTTCTTTGGTGATCACACCCTTTGGCCTGATGTTAGGAGAGATGGGTACCAAGCCCTGGGAGGACCAGAACTTCCCTGGGAATCCACATCCTCCCTAGCTCTTTCTCTTCCTGGTGGTTCAGGGCCTTGGGGGGCTCAGCTGCATCTCTCTCTTTGACTCCCCTTGGGGCCTTAGTTCTGATCCTGTCTCATCCTGTGTGTCTCTGACGGCTCCTTAAAGCAAAATTCAGTTCTGAGGTTCTGCAGACGAGCTTTGCCATCATTCTCGGGAGGCTTCACAGTCTCTAGTCTGCCAGTGTGGTAGCAATGCTGGTGTTAACCGTCAACACTTGTATTTTTGATAATTGATTGTTAGACATTGGATTAATCCCACTTAAACATTAACAGGATGGAAAAGCCTCCTCCCTGTCTCTCCCCCCATCCACATAGTTCCTGTCCCCACTGCTGAGACACCTGCAGATGTTGATTTCTTTCAGTCCCATGAATAATTCCAGTCATCATTCATGTAACTACAGTGGAACCTCAGGTCACAAACTTAATTCTTCCCATGATTCTGGTCGCAAACCAAACTGGATGGGAACCGAATCGAATTCAGTGGTTTGGTTCAGAACTGATCTTCTGGGATCAGCTTGGGCTGAGCTTGAACTTGTGATCCTCCTGCCTCAGCCTTCCAGAATGGTGGAATCACCAATGTGCGTTCGCATGTCCAGCAGTCTGCCTTTGTTTGACTTGAGTGTATGGATCATTTTTATTGCCTGCACATTTCTTTTTGAAAGGAGAGAAAAATATGCTATTAAATTTTGTTCTTTCTGCTCATGTTGGAGGTAGACAGAATGAATGAGTAGCTCAAACATAGAAAAATCCCAAGCAAAACCCTCATGAAACTGGAAGAAACTAACAGGAGCTTTCTGCTCATGACAGCACGGCTGGCATTCGTGATCCAGCCACAGAACACAGAGGTGCTGGTGGGTGAAAGTGTCACACTGGAGTGCAGCACCACGGGCCAGCCCGCACCTCGGATAACCTGGACACGAGGGGACCAGACCCCCTTGCCAGCTGATCCCCGGGTGAACATCACCCCCTCCGGTGGCCTCTACATACAGAATGTCGCCCAAGAGGACAGCGGGGAGTACATATGCTTCGCCTCCAATGGCGTGGACAGCATCCATGCCACAGCCTTCATCATCGTCCAGGGTGAGTGCCAGGGGCTCTGTCAGGGTGTCAGGACTCTGCTGTGCACCAGCCAGGTCCCCTTACTGTGTCAGCACCTCCGTGCCTGAAGCAGCTTCTGGCCCGGCTCCACCCCAAGGCTGCCCTCCTGGTTCCCTTTAACTTGCTTCATTTTTATGCATAACACTCCCTCCGTGTTGTGTGTGAGTCTCTTTCCCATCTCTGGGACAAAATGCCTAACACCCACAACTTAGGAGGAGAGCTTTATTTTGGCTTATGGTTCAGAGGGTTCAGTCTATGGTTGGCTGGCTCCTAGGTAGAAATAGCCTGGTAGAACAGCCTAACAGAGAAAAGCTGCTCACCTCATGGCAGACAGGAAGCAGAGAGAGAAGGGAGGAGCTGGGAACAAGAATGCACCCTTCCAGGTCACCCCCCCAGTGATCTCCTTCAACCAGGCCCACCTTACATTCAGCCGTGAACTCATTCGTGGATGGATCCACTGATAAGCACAGCACTCCATGATGCAACCACCTTTAAAAATCCCAGCCCTTGAACCCAGGAAACTTTGGAGAACAAGACCTAAAACTAAGCACAACCTGAGACAGGTAAATTTTCTTACGTTGCCCGAGGCTGTGCTTTGGCTGTGGTCTCCAAGCCCTAAGTCCTGGCCTGCGAACTCGGCAGAAGTTCACACACATCAGTGTGAAGTCATCCCTCACCTGCAGCCAACTTTGAATGCATCCCTGAGGCTGGACTTTGAGTATATAGGAGTAGGTAGTTTTAATACTTTGGCTGTGTGTTTCCAAGTTGTTTAACTCCCTTAAAAGGGAACTTGTGAGGGCCGGGGATTTAGCTCAGTGATTTCGCTGCCTGCTGTGCAAGCTCAAGGACCCGAGTTCGATCCCCGGTACCAAAAAAAAAAAAAGAACTTGTGACTTTGTAGGTAAGCTGAGAAGTGGGCAGTCGAGAGGGACGAGGAGAATCCAGAAGTGTGGAGCTCAGACAGCTGCCTGCCTGGATCACACTTCCCTCTGACCATTTCCTGCCTCCCTAATGATGCCTTGGAATCGTCTTTCCAGCTTTCCTTGCATGTGTAGCTGTACAGCCCTGGTGTGGGGTTTTACTCTGCTGTGTTCTTACTCTTGTAAAAATGGGGTTCTGCTAGATACTCTGTCCTGGAGCTCATTTTTATATCCAGTAATAACAGCTCCTGTCACTATCCACAGTGCCCCAGATGACATTTTTTAACCATTTACAAATTTAATGTAAGCTGTTTAATGAAATGAGTTAGGGATGGGCAGTACTGGCGTTGGAACCGGGGCCTACACACTGAACTACATCCCATCCCCAGCCCCTTTTTAAAATTTTAAGACAGGATCTTGCTAAATGGCTTAATTCCCTAAGATGAGCTCCAACTTGCAGTCCTCTTCGCTCAGCCTTCCAGAGTCCCAGGACTCTAGTATTCTTTTTTGTTTTGGTACCAGGGATGGAACTCGGGTCCTTGTGCTTGTGAGGCAGGCGGCGGAACCACTGAGCTAAATCCCCGGCCCAATTCTGGGATTCTTTTGTGGCAGGTTTGCACTCTCTGTCGGAAGTAGGCTGAAGCAGGCTGTTCTCCATGCGCCAGCGCATTGCAGCTAGCAGGCTTCCTAGGCTAAGCCCTTTTATAAGCTCCTTCAGTATGATCCTAAGGAAGTACCTATCCTGTGATGTCCTCCCTGCGTCCTCTTCATTTTCTGTCTTAAGTTTCTTGACTGCACCCACAGTTGTGTCTGCTTACAACACTACTGGCCTTTTTGTTTCATTTCATTTTTTGCACAATCTGTCCTCCCGGTGTTATCTCTAACTGTCCCGTTGCGAAAATGTTTCTCCTCCAAAGCTCTTCCGCAGTTCACGGTGACACCTCAGGACAGAGTGGTCATCGAGGGTCAGACAGTCGATTTCCAGTGTGAGGCCAAAGGCTACCCCCAGCCGGTCATCGCCTGGACAAAGGGAGGTAAGACAGACACCACCCGGGCTCCCTCCCCTCAGCCAGGCAAACCCAGCATTTTCAGACAGAGCCGAGCAGGGGCAGAGCCCAGGCCCAGGCAGTAGGAGAAGGCGGAGGTGTCCCTGTGACCTCCATGGCTTTCATGGCTCATAGCAAGGACGGCTGATAGGATTCGGGGTGTCAAGATGTGGGGTGAACAGATCTCATGACTTGTGGGATGGAACTTCCTGGGTCATTTCTGCCCTGTATTAAACAAGTGGCCTTTGCGCTCTGATGCCCAGCATTCCCATCACCGTGTCTCCAGGGGGTGTTGGACTGTGAAAACCATGACTCATGGTCCTGTCCCTGCCCGTGGTGTCACAGCCTGGCTGGAGGGATGGTAAGTGCTGGCACCCCAGATCTCTGGCATTTGTGTCCAGGGTCCTGGAGATCACCCAGCCACTCTGGCTTGAAACAGAGCACCCAGGCGTCCCCTGGTCCCTTAGGGGCTCAACCTGACCCCTGGGCATCTCTGCCCTCAGGCTACAGGTGATGAGAGAGAGGTTTATCTGAAAAGGAATTGCAAGGAGCCCATGTGGGTAAGCCCTGGTTTCCAGCCTCCTTCCTGTTTTCTTCTCAGGCAAAGCTTGGTTGGGCTCAGCCCCTCAGCCACCCCAAGAGTCCCTGTGTTGCCCAGTTTTCTGTTTAGCCATTCCTCTGGTCATCTGCTCCTCTCAGCCCCTTCTTGGGGGGTTCTGGGGAGCAGGGACCCTGTTTCCTCCCCAATACCCCTGTGGTATGGGGTTTGGGTCCCATCTGGGGTCTTCTGAAATGAGTAGGACCTGCTTCCCGAGGGCCAGGACTGCAACACAGCCTGGCTCACAGACAAAGCTCTCCTCCCACCAAGTACACAGCCCTTGCCTGTGCCAAGACTTGATCCAGGCTTGTGCAACTGATGCCCACCCTTGCAGGGAGCCAGCTCTCGGTGGACCGGCGGCACCTGGTGCTGTCCTCGGGCACGCTCAGGATCTCCGGGGTGGCCCTGCACGACCAGGGCCAGTACGAGTGCCAGGCTGTCAACATCATCGGCTCCCAGAAGGTCGTGGCCCACCTGACCGTGCAGCCCCGAGGTAAGCATTGTGCAGACGACTTGGCAGAATAGTTTGGATCTGTTGTCAGGAAACAGAGCTTCATGTGGCCAATGCTGACAGGGCTGTGAATTGTGAAGTTGGCCATGAGTTTTTGTTTTGTTTTGTTGTTTTCTTTCTGGTACTAGGGATTGAACTCAGGACCTTGTGCTTTGCAAGGCAGATGTGGTGCTGCTGAGCTAAATCCCTGGCCCTCCCTGAGTAGTGGCACATTTTAGGTATACACTATAATGACATTCATCATTGGAGCCTCCGTGAGTTTTTAATGACGTCTGTAGTGAACTCAGATCAGACTGCCAGTCAAGCCCGTCTTTCTCCTTGGTTAAACACCATCAGCAAAGGCTAATCTCTCCGCCCTTTGTCACATGGCCATGTAGGAAGCATGGGGACAAGCGCTGTCCCCAGCCCCACAGAGCCCAGCCACGCTGCGTTCCCCTCCCAAGGCCTCTCACCCTTGGGCCCTTTCTTCCTTTCCTCCTGGGACGTCTCTGTCCTGTTTCTCTGGTTAGAGACCTAGCACCCTCCTCTCCCTCTTGGCAGAGCCAGAATAAAAAGATGAAGAGGTCCCCAGCGCAAAGGTCACTGACCAGAGTCACAGTGGCCCCTGGAGGTCCTAGCCCCAGGCCAAAGAAGGAGACTGCTTGTCTCAAGTCCAGCTGATCAGCTCTGGGGTTAGGGCTCTACCCCTTGAGCCCCTGCATTGTTAGGACTCAGCCCATAGGTCGAGGGGACACCGGGATGGGTCCCGGAAAGGTGCCCGGCCTGCTGCAGTCAATCCCCTGCCTGTAGATGAGAACGTGTGGCTGACTTAGTTTCCTTCCTTCAAACATCGGCTGCTCTCTGAGCTCCTGGAGTCCTCAGTACCCACTGTGGAGGGTGCAGGGTACGGGCATCCGAGGTCTCTGAGCAGAGGACCCAGTTATGTTCACTGTGTGCTGTTGCCACCTGGGTGGGAAGCAGGAGGAGCAGTCAAGGCTGGTGCCCAGATCCTTGCTCTGCAGACACTGGTCACGGTGACCCAGGGCTGACAGTGTTCTCCCTGCTCACAGTCACCCCAGTGTTCGCCAGCATCCCCAGTGACCTGACGGTGGAGGTGGGGACCAATGTGCAGCTGCCCTGCAGCTCCCAGGGTGAGCCCGAGCCTGCCATCACCTGGAACAAGGTGAGAGCTGATGCCAGCCTGGGGACACAGGGAACAGTGGGTGGCCGCCACCACCTTGTCTCTTGTGCAGACTTTCCACACGTTGGGAGCTTGGGTCAGCCTTTTTGGAGGACGGGCTTTAGACATGGTAGGAAAGTGCTCTACCGCGGAGTCACCCCCCAGCCCAGAAGCTTGGATTACAGATATCCTGGGAGCTACACAAAAACTCGAGACCTTCTTTTTTCCTGCTGTCCAGCAACAAAAGCAAAGAAAAAGCTTTCTCTTTAGATCCACAGTCTTATAAGCAATAATGTTGGTTTGTTTTGTTTCTTTTATTTTTTTAGACAGGGTCTTCCTGTGTAGTTCAGGCTGGCCTTGAACTCACCATGTATCCCAGGCTGGCCTTGAACTGGCTGCAATCCTTCTGCATCAGCCTCCCGAGGGCTGAAATTAAAGGCATACACCACCAACCTGGCATAATGAGTTTTTAAATTTCACTTTTCTTTCCTCTTTTATTCAGCCCAGTACAAAATGTAGTAAACAGCACACACTATGCGCATGGTCCGCTTCCTTGGGAGGAGGTGGCTGTGCCAGGGCCGCCACACAGTAAGAGGTCTCGAGGCCAGGGCAGGTGCAAATGCCCCCAGCTCTCTCCTGCTGCCCACCCACCCACTTCGCCTCCCACCTTCTTCTTCCTCCTCACCACCCAGGCCTGGCACAGGGCCTGTGCGTTCGGAGTCTGTCTTCGAGTCATCCTGCATCCATGCTCAGAACATCCTCAGGTCCCCATCTCTCAAGGACCCCCCTCCATAGCTTGTGGCCCTCAGGAGTTACCATGTGCACCACACACACACAGTGGCAGCCATCTGCACCCCACTGTGCAGCAGGCAGAGGATGAGCATGTAAGAAGTGTGTAAGAAGAGCTTATCCCACTGGGCCAGCCCTAGGCAAGTGCCCTGGCACAGCCTGAGTGCACCCTCTGAGACGTTTCCCTCGATGCCTCACAGCGCCCTCCCTGCCCCCCAAGAAAAACAGCTTTAGTCTTCATCTTACTGCTGCCACCCTCCTTGTTGCTCCAGGATGGGGTTCAGGTAACAGAAAGTGGAAAATTTCACATCAGCCCCGAAGGATTCCTGACCATCAATGACGTGGGACCAGCGGACGCAGGTCGCTATGAGTGCGTGGCCAGGAACACGATCGGCTACGCCTCCGTCAGCATGGTGCTCAGTGTGAGCGGTAAGACTCGGTGTCAGGACAGCAGGGCTGTGGCTCGGCTCCCCTTAGGAACATCAGTTGAGGGCATCTAGTAGAATGACCGAGAGGCGGAGGCGGTGGATCCCTAATTCGCAGCGGGAGCCTCCAGCAGGGCATGTATCAGTCACATCCCATGTTGACACGAGATTCTTCACTGAAGGAGGACCCGTTGGCTAGGTCCCTCCTGGGCTGGCTGCAAGGCAGAATCAGGATGGTAGAGAGGCATGGTGGGGGAAGGCAGTTCACACCAAGGTGGCCAGGAAGCAGAGAGGAGAGGGTGTTGCACGCCCTTCCATGCCACACTCCAGTGACCACTTCCAACCAGGCCCATTTCCGTGGATGAATCCACTGTGGGTGTGGCACCCGTGAGACAATCACCTTCCACACCCATGAGGCATGATTCTATTCAGATCGTAAAGGTGTTGGCACTCCTGAGTGCGGCACAGCTGATCCCTTCAGGGCCTGTGTCAGTGGTAGAGTCAGTGGGTCCGGGTCCCCTGGGCCAGGGAGAGGCCCGGTGCTGGAGACCAACAGCTCTGGTCCCAGGGTCCTGGTGAGTGAGGCCAGGGTGGCCCTGGAGAAGCAGGGTGGGGAGGGTCAGAGTGAGGGGCTGGTCCTGGGGCCTCGGTGCCAGCCACACCTGGACTGGATTTCCCTGAGGCTCAGGAAGCTGTGGAGCATTCTGGGCAGGGCGTGCTTTAGCCAGTCCTTTTCTCAGAGACAGCTGCCTCAGACGAGGACTGTGGAGTGAGGCGTGGAAGGCAGAGAGAGGCCGCAGGGACACAGACGTGCATCAGAGGGGTCTGGTGGGCCACTGGGACACAGAATCGGGGTGCCCGCTGAATGCTGGAGCTAGTGGTGCCATTTAATGACACCCTCGGGGGTCGGGGGAGGACGGGAGGGCGCTGTTTGCACAGTGAGTGGGAGACCGCTGGCTGGGGATGGGGTCTGTGCCGCTGGGGCTCCCGGAGAGGTCGGGGTGACTGCCTAGCCCTGGGACCAGGAGTGGTCACCAGATCCCAGGGGAAAACTGACCCACGAAGTGATGGCATCAGGGAGCAAGGATCCCCATCAGTCACATCCTGTGCACCCGTCAGCCGAGAGGAGAGGGAGCCATGAGAGCCACTGAGGCTGAAACTGTCAGGGAGGTCGAGAGGAGAAGAGGTGAAGGGAGCATTTTAACAGGATGGCTCCCAGCTGGGTGGAGTCTGCAGAGGGCTGAGTCTGTTCGGGAAATCTCATCATTGGCTCATTAAGAAGAACCCAGAGCCAGGCACAGTGGCACACAGCTGTAACCCCAGCACTCTAGGAAGTTGAGGCAGGAGGCTGGCAAGTTTGAACCCACCCCACATAACTTAGCAAGTGAGCAAGACCCTATCTCAAAACAAAAAAATAACAAAAAGCTGGGGATGTAGGGATGTAGCTTAGTGGGAACACCCTGGATTCAGCCCACAGTATTGCTTTAAAAAAAAGCTAGCCATGCCTGGTGGTATGGCCAGAGCCATTTAGTGCTCAGGATACAGTCTGATTGGAATGAGGTTATTGTGCTTGGCAAACTGTGAGCGCTGACAAATTAACAGCAGGTGAAAGGGAACAAGAGAGAACCAGAAAGTGTGTACTCTGGGGAATGGCAGGTTACACGCTGTGCATGTGTGTGTGTCTTGTCTGTGTGTCTGTGTGCGTTCACGCACACACTTGGGCACTATGAGGCACTGTGATGTGTGCTGAGTATGTTGTATATATAGTGTGTTGTGTGTTTTGTATATGGTGTGCTCTGTTGTGTGTCTGCTGTGTGGTGAGTGTGTTGCATGTATGCTCTGGTGTTTGTATGTCTGTGTAGTGTGTGTCTGTAGATAGTGTGATGCACATGTATTGTGTATTGTATGTGAAGTATGGTGTGTTGCGCCTGTGTTGTATATATGTGATTGTGGACCATGGTGTGTGATGCAGAGTGTATTGTCCTGGAGAGTGTGTGTGTGTGTGTGTGTGGTGTGGTGTGTATATATGAGTATGTGTCTGTGTGCATGGTGTGTGATGTGTTGTGTGTGCATGTGTGCTATGTGGAGTGTGTGTGTGAAGGTATGGAGTGTGCAGATCAGGGGAGGGGACATTTGGCACCTCAGGAAAGACCTCTGAGCCCCGAGGGCCCGGGCCCCACGTCACCTTTAGCGTAAAACTTCTATATTCTGTGTTATGCCTGCGTTTCCTGTCTTTTCATAGGCTATCACATAATTCCAGAACGTCTACAGTTTCCATACTGTTTGAAAGCAGCTTTTAGTAGAATTTGTGATAAAATCATTTAAGCTGTGGTTTGAAAATAGAAATACCACTTGGAGAAAGTGTGCTTACTCCTGCGTGATGTAGTGTCTAGACATGATTTTACGAGTCAGCTGCGCTGTATTTTTCCTGGTAATTTCTGACTTCCTGTTTCCCTAGTTCCTGATGTCAGTCGAAATGGGGACCCATTTGTCGCTACCTCCATTGTTGAAGCGATCGCAACCGTGGACAGAGCCATAAACTCAACTCGAACACACTTATTTGACAGGTATCTGGGGGAGGGGCGGGACGCCCAACGTTGGGTGGGGGCTTGGAATCCGAGCAGCCTGTTGCACAAAGCTCTGACTAGCTCGGTCCCCAGAAAACTTTTGACTTAGTAATCGCAAACAACATTGGCTCTGACCTTTCTGGGCATTAGGGTAACAGGAGGATGCGTACTTTCCTAATAGATTCTGAGCCATGATTCATGCATTCTTTTACTAAGTGATTTGGCAAAAACAAAGCATTTCCAAAGTCCTCGGGAAACCCACTCATGTGCTCATGTTGGCACTTCCAGCAGTTTCTCTGTGCCTTCATTGAAATGCAGTACCTGTGACTTTCTCTCTTGACTTAATTAATGATTTGTTTTTAGTGTCTCTTGGTTCTTGTCTGTCCGTTTGTTGTTCTTTTGCCTTCCACTTCGGATAAGCCAGGTACAGTACCTCATGTTGTCCACGGTAGTCATAGCAGTATTCACAGCCTCGGTACTTCTGAATTCTCGTGCTATCCGTCTGCGCTAATCTGTGTCCCTGCTCCCCTCCCTCCGCTCAGCCGGCCACGCTCTCCCAATGACCTTCTGGCCCTCTTCCGGTACCCGAGGGACCCATACACTGTGGGACAGGCCCGAGCTGGAGAGATCTTCGAGCGGACGCTGCAGCTCATCCAGGAGCACGTGCAGCACGGACTGATGGTCGACTTAAATGGCACAAGTCAGTACCTTTTCCTCCTCTCCTCCCTGCCTGCTCCTGAGGTCACACGTGCACTGCATGTGACAAGGGCCTCGAGAGAGGTCCCTGCTTTCCGCTCCTTTGTGCCCATGAGTCAGGGCTGCGCTGTCTCGGGGTCTAGCAGGAGGCTGTTGGTGATGAGAACTCACCGGTTGGGCTGTGGTAGGTCCACCCGCATCTCCATACTGAGTGGCTCAGCTGTGGTCCTGCAGGCTGTCACAGTCCTGTCCTCGAGTGACAGAGTGATAGAAGGGAAGACTTTGTAGGGTCATAGATAAGTAAGGGCACTGAGTCCACACAGCCACTAAGGAGACTATCTCGAGTGTGCGTGAATGCTGTGGGATCGACCCTTGGGCTCCGGCCCCTGCGGGCACATAAGCACTGGCTGGAAATGTCACAATCACACTTGCAGCTGTGCTGCTGATGGCCATGGCTTTTACCATGTGAAACATTTCTGTCATCCTTTTCACTGTGAATGCGTTTTACACACACGTGCACACACACAGCAGCCATCCTTGAGGTGTGAGTGAGGCCTGGGATCTGATGTTAGGGCCTGTGAATGTGTGCGAAGGAAGTGGGGTGCAGATGAGGGTAGGGCGCATTTCTCCCTACCCTGGGGTTGGACGACACCTTGACCCAGTCTCCATCCTGCCACGTTTGGAGTTGAACCTCACAGGCTCTGCGGAGTCCACCCGCGTGTAGCTCAGACCCTGCTGCTCCCCCTTCAGTCCTCTGCCTCCAGGCGGAGGCCTCGAACTCTCTGGCTTTCTCTTGGGAGCCAGCAGTAGCCTCCCTCCCAGGCCTATTTCCTTCTTTCTGAGAGGTGCTTTCTGTTGGTGCTTTCTGCCTGCTGGGCACAGGCCCTTCCCTCACCCTGGGTGCATTTCTTCTCTCAGCACAGAGCCCCATGTCCTCTTGTAGAGAGGACAAAGTGGGAGTTGCTAAAGGTTTCTTCCTGCTGCTTCCCACCACTCTTCACTTAGCTACCAGCTCAGGTCCCTGGAAGTAGCTATGACAGATTTACTAGGCCACCATACCACCCTCTGACTTCCAGCCCTCCGGAGACTCGGCCTGGGTCCTGGCTCTCCCTGGAGCTGCTCCTTGTGAGGAACTGCAAGCCACTCCTCTGTCATTGCATGCTAGGCAGAGAAAGATGTGAATGTCAAGTCAGAAGAAGAAACTGTAACTCCCAAACCCCACTCCTGCCTCATCCGCCCATCCCACACACGCACCTCGGCACACGCTTCATTCGGGCACTGTCCGGGTCTGGGGAAGCAGCAGCCTCGGCCTCAAAGGTGTGACATTTCAGGGAAGTGTGGGCGTGGAGCAGGATCAGCCATGAGACTGAGGCAGGCAGAAGCAAGGAGGGAGATGAGGGGCCAGGCAGGATGGGGTGCCGTCTCCATGGAGAAGGTAACCATCAAACCCTCAAGCAGAGGCCCCCCCAAGGCAAGGGGCCACCTAGGTAGGGGACAGCAGGCACACACGCCTCGAGGAGGGACCACATCTGCAGGTCGGAGCGGCTGGAGCAGAGGTGGCACTCTCAGAAGGGCATACTCAGAAGGGTTGGTGCTGCGAGGGTCTCACACATGGACCGATGCCATGGGACTGTGTGTCGTGGGATGGGCAGAGGCAGCGCCCGGCCCTGAGGAGCTGAGCAGGGGCCACGCTGGCTCCCACTCGTCCATAGGCGCACATGTCTCTGCAGCACCCCAGGCATCCCTGAGGAGCAAGAGGGCTTTTCCTTCCCCGCCCTTGGCCTGCTTGGTGCTTTTGCTGTGCAAGCCTCACGCTCTGAGACTTCCCAGGAGCTGTGCCAGGCCCCTCAGCTTCATGCCTGGGTCAGAGTGAGGTGTGCACCACCTCGGCCACCCACGATGGAAGAGCTGGGGTGGAGGCAGTGGTGGCTCATGTTCCTCGCCATGTGGCTTGTTTGGGTGCAGTGCTTCTGGTGGCTTCTCTTTCCCCACCTCCCTTCCCGTTTTGGTTCTCCTGTGGATGTTTTTGGTATCAGCCCCATGAAAGGAGAGCCATCTGTTGCTGCTTCAACAGCCGGGTATACTCAGAGATGTTTAAGGGCAAGAGCCACTGAAGGCCCAGGGCCCCACCACGTGTGCACACGTGCCCATGAGTGTGTCCTGTATCACTGTTTGAATGTGTCCATGTGTGAGCATGCGTGCCCATGTGTCTGTACACATCTGCTTGCACATGAGTGCAAGCGTGATTGCAAGTGTGAGAGTGTGTACATCTGCCTTACACGCGTGTGTCGGACACACACATACGGGTGTGTATATGCGGAGTTGTGACTGCATGTGTTTTTTGGCAGGTCCTGGCATTCCCTTTACAGGAAGGGTGTTGAGGAAGGCAAGACCTGACTTGTGAATGCCTGGGGGCATTTGGGGAAACTGAGCCCTGAGGGTCTAACCCTGGGAAGTCTGGTGCCCTATTGCCAGGGAGCAGGGGTCTCGGAGGGGAAGATAGGAGCTCGGGGTAGGAAGAGCAGTATGGGAGCCACATTCCAGGCTAGGAAGTGCAGGATTTCCTCTGTAGCTGCAGACTGGGGAGTCTTGAGCAGGACTGACATCTCACCGGAGCCTGCACCCAGCGAAACCAGCCGCAGGGTGTTTGTGGAGGGCTCTGTGGGCCAGGGGGGTTTTGGAATTGAAGGCAACATCATGAAAATGTGACCCAGGGTTATGCCAGAGCAACGGAAAGAAAAGAGGGCTTGCATCCTAGGAGTCTCAGCCCCCTGAGCCGAGGTGGCAGCTGGTAAGCCTCGTAGTTGACTCACCATCCAGGACCCGCATCTGGGAAAGTGTCCTGCTCCCACCCGAAGTGGGTGGTGTTGAGCTCTGTCTGTTCCCTGCTCCATGGGACTCTGAGCGATGCAGAAAAGAAGAAAGTACTCGGGTTAGGGCTGGGCCCGTGACCGTGAACAGTCACCATATTGGAGCTAGAGGTGGAAGTGAGAGCAGGGCACTGTGCCAGGGCGTGAGGGTGGGCAGGGAAGGGCGGAGTCTGCCAAACAGGGGGGGCACGGCTCCCCACCAACCTGGGGTCATCATCTTGCAGGTTACCACTACAACGACCTGGTGTCCCCACAGTACCTGAGCCTCATCGCCAACCTCTCAGGCTGCACCGCGCACCGGCGTGTGAACAACTGCTCAGACATGTGCTTCCACCAGAAGTACAGGACCCACGACGGGACCTGCAACAACCTGCAGCACCCAATGTGGGGCGCCTCGTTGACTGCTTTCGAGCGCCTGCTGAAGGCGGTATATGAGAACGGCTTCAATACGCCACGTGGCATCAGCCCCCGGCGGTTCTACCACGGCCACGCGCTGCCCATGCCGCGCCTGGTGTCCACCACGCTCATCGGGACGGAGGTGGTCACGCCCGACACGCAGTACACACACATGCTAATGCAGTGGGGGCAGTTCCTGGACCACGACCTGGACTCCACCGTGGTGGCCCTGAGCCAGGCCCGCTTCTCTGACGGGCAGCCCTGCAGCTCGGTGTGTGGCAGTGACCCACCCTGCTTCTCCGTCATGATCCCCCCCGACGACCCTCGTGCCCGAAGTGGAGCCCGCTGCATGTTCTTTGTGCGCTCCAGCCCCGTGTGTGGCAGCGGCATGACGTCCCTGCTCATGAACTCCGTGTATCCGCGGGAGCAGATCAACCAGCTTACCTCCTACATCGACGCGTCCAACGTGTATGGCAGCACGGACCATGAGGCCCGTGCCATCCGGGACCTGGCCAGCCACCGCGGCCTGTTGCGCCAGGGCATTGTGCAGAGGTCCGGGAAGCCGCTGCTACCCTTCGCCACAGGGCCACCCACTGAGTGCATGCGGGATGAAAACGAGAGCCCCATCCCCTGCTTCCTGGCCGGGGACCACCGTGCCAACGAGCAGCTGGGCCTGACCAGCATGCACACGGTCTGGTTCCGTGAACACAACCGCATCGCGGCTGAGCTGCTGGCCCTGAACCCGCACTGGGACGGGGACACCATCTACTATGAGACCCGCAAGATCGTGGGTGCCGAGGTCCAGCACATCACCTACCAGCACTGGCTGCCCAAAGTGCTGGGCGAGGTGGGCATGAAGATGCTGGGTGAGTACCGCAGCTATGACCCCAGCGTCAACGCCGGCATCGTCAACGCCTTCGCCACCGCTGCCTTCCGCTTCGGCCACACGCTGGTCAACCCCTTGCTCTACCGGCTGGACGAGACCTTTAAGCCCATCGCGCAGGGCCACATCCCCCTGCACAAGGCCTTCTTCTCGCCCTTTCGCATCGTGAACGAGGGCGGCATCGACCCGCTGCTGAGGGGCCTGTTCGGCGTGGCCGGGAAGATGCGCGTGCCCTCCCAGCTGCTGAACACGGAGCTCACCGAGCACCTCTTCTCCATGGCGCACACGGTGGCCCTCGACCTGGCCGCCATCAACATCCAGCGTGGCCGCGACCACGGCATTCCCCCCTACCACGACTACCGCGTCTACTGCAACCTCTCGGCCGCCCACACGTTCGAGGACCTGAAGAACGAGATCAAGAACCCCGACATCCGGGAGAAGCTGAAGAGGTGAGTGTGAGAACCAGGATGTCCTTCTTCCTATTACCTAGCTTTTATTTTGCTCTTTATTTATACTTTGGGTCCCTCATCTGAGGGAACCCACACAATATTGAAACCTGTGCGTCTGATTTATTTCACTCAACGTTAGGGTCTCCAGGTGCATCCGTTTTCCTACACCTGACTCGACTTTATCCTTCCTTATGGCAGAGTAGTACGCCATGGTGTGTGAACACATTTTCTTTATCATTCACCTCTTGGTGGACATATAGGCCACTTCTAGGACTTAGCTATTGCGAATTGTGCCCCTTCTGGCACCAGCTGAGGTTTTGGATTTGGGGGTAACCTTGGCTCCCCTGCCGCACACCCGGCAGGCCCCACATCTAGGGTCCCAGCCCCTTTTGTGAGGGGTGCTCCCTGGAGCACCAGGCTGCTGATGGCCCTGTCCCCGCCATGGAGCCTGGAAAGTGGGATATTTCCCGCCCGTGCAGACCCCTTTGCGGGGCAGAGGAGAAGGACAGTCAGAGCAGGAGCACCTGGCAGGTTCCTCTGAAATCTGGGGTGCCTCGGACCTGGATGGTTAGCCTCAGGCCACTGAGCTGAGGAGAAAAACAGCCCATGGACACTGCCCCACATGTGCGGAGCAGCAGAAACCCCGCCTGCACCACTCACGGCAGTATCGTGGGAGGAGGCACTGGGACTCTGAGAAGGAAACTTTTTAACTCTACTTGAGCGTTCAGTAGCAGCTGTACCAAGAAAGCAGCTTTACAAAGGGGAGCTCTTGAGAAATTCTACCACACTGGAGAAAAACGCTCTCTAGAAGTTGCCAGTTTTCTGTGAGAGCGTGTTTATTTTTAAAGAGTTGGGAGAGCTTGGTGACAGTGTTTGCACTTGAACACTGAATCCTTTTCTTAGGGTTTTTAGGTTGCTGCCCTGTCTTTGGTTAGCAGATATCTTCATTATGGCTACTCTATTTTCAATGCACGGTAGAATCCAATTTTATTCTTTTAAAGTATAGCATTTTAAAAGCTATTTGTTGTTTATTCATATACTTATGGAAAAAATAGGAAGGGTCTATGCTGTGATATGAGGTGTATTTATCCTGGAAAAACAGGCAAAAGTGTGCCTAAATTTTCTTCCTTACGAACTTTGGGGGGGAATTTTTCTAAATTTCTTAAAATAAATAAGTGAATGTATGTATACATTTTATACATAATAAAACATAGGAAAACAATTCTTTAAAATTGATGGATGCATCAAAGAAATACAGGCGAATTTTCTGTAAGTAAAACTCTATATTCCGTAAAATCCTGGAAAAATGAGTGCTTTCTCATATTTGTTGTATTTCTTCATCACATGCAGCTGTCGGGTGAGCTTAAGTCCGACTTCCTTTCCGCAGGCTGTACGGCTCCCCACTCAACATCGACCTGTTCCCAGCCCTCATGGTGGAGGACCTGGTGCCCGGCAGCCGGCTGGGGCCCACGCTCATGTGTCTGCTCAGCACGCAGTTCCGACGCCTGCGGGATGGGGACAGGTGAGCCCTTCCTGGGCAGGGGGACTGACCGACCCTACCCCTGGGACCTGAGAACCATGCCTTCCAGCCTGGGGCTTCCACTGCGGTGTCCAGCACCTAACGAGGGCATTTCTGTGAATAGCATCTCCTGCTAAGTGATCCGCACAGCTAAACCATTGCAGGACTTTAAAGGATTGCAGGTAGCAGGACTCATTTTCATTTGTAGTTTGTTATTAGTTTAAGGTCTGTTCCTGAGGAATTCTCCAGACAGCTCTGCTATGTCTGTTTTTAAAATGTTGGATTTATTTCACTTAACATTATGGTCTCAAAGTGCACCCATTTTCCTACAAATGATTCAACTTTATCCTTCTTTATGGCAGAGTAGTGCTCCATTGTGTGTAAATACCACATTTTCTTTATCCATTCATCTGTGGATGGACCTAGAGGCCGCTTCCAAGGATTAGCTGTTATGAGTTGTGCTGCTATAAACATGGGTGTGCATGGATCCCTCTAATACAATGTCTTTAACTCTTTGGGGAAGACACCTAGAAGGGGAATAGCTGGGTTGAATAGAATTTCGTGTTTTGAGGAATCTCCACACTGATTTCCATAGTAATTACACTAGTTTACATTCCCACCTACAATGTAGAAGGGTTCCTTTTTCCCCGAAGCCTCGCCACCATTTATTTGATTTCTTGACGATGGACATTCTTTCTGGAGTAAGATGAAATCTCAGTGTTTTAATTTGTATTTATTGGCCATTTGTACTTCTTCTGAGACGTGTCTGCCCATTTCAGTTGCCTGTTTTTTGATTGGGTCTTTTATTTGGGAGGGCTGACTTCCCTTTAAATTGGTGCTGATGGAAACGGGATTTCTGGAGAGTGGGAGGTGCTTCCCAGCCCTGTTCCTGCGGCCCGGGAGGCCCTGTCACCTCTGACCCCACTGTCTTCCGGGCACAGGCTGTGGTACGAGAACCCCGGGGTGTTCTCCCCCGCCCAGCTGACACAGGTCAAGCAGACCTCGCTGGCCCGGATCCTGTGCGACAACTCGGACAATATCACACACGTGCAGGCGGATGTGTTCAGGGTGGCCGAGTTCCCGCATGGCTATGGCAGCTGCAAGGACATCCCCAGGGTGGACCTCCGCATGTGGCAGGACTGCTGCGAAGGTGCGTGGCGGGAGGGGACCTTACCCACACCGGCTTTCTTGGGTGCATGCTCGGGATAGCCATCCAGAAGAGGGGTGAGCTCCATTGTGCTCGGCCTACACAGTCCTGCTCGCCAAGAAACGTGTGGTTGTGTGAACACTCAGGGTGATGCTGTCACATACACACACCAGTGGTATGAGCTGGACACTACACCGAGCCTCTAGATGCCATCAGGAGACACAGGAGATGCAAATGCCTGAGGCCGCTGCCCACAGAATGTGGCACTGCTTAACAGTAAACTTTGTTTTAAAGTAAAAGGAAAACGCTTTAAAATAATGATGGGCCAGGCCTAGTGGCGCATACCAATAATCTCAACACTCTGGGAGGCTGAGGCAGGAGGATCCCAAGGTCAAGCTTAGCCTGGGCAACTTAGCAAGACCCTGTCTCTAAATAAATAAATAAATAAATAAGGCCTGAGATGTAGCTCAGTGAAAAGGCCCTGAGTTCATTCCTCAGTACCACCTAAAGAAATAAACGAGATGAAAAGTGGGATACGATAAATACGTGAATCAGAAACATTGCCTTTCTCAGCATTACCAAGTATTATGCACTGCACACAATAATGCTGTATTTTAGGGCTCTTACCCAGTGGGTTTCCTTACATGGGCTTCATCACCGGCACATGATTTTGATGTCCCCGCAGCTTAGTAATAGGAAATTTCCAGCTCTTTTATAATCCTTAAGACCACCCATGTATTCATAAGCACAATAATAAGTAAAAGAGACAAAGCTTTTACCTGTATGTTCATATCCACAGGTAAGAGGGGGAAATAAACGTATCAAGGAAGCAGATCTAGGTTTCCTTTATTACAGTGTGCTCTGTGACAGGCAGAAAGAAATACCCGCCTTAGGGGGTCGGCGGTGCCTGTGGTGGGAGGGGTCCGGTGTTAGGTTTGGAGGCCCCAGAACAAGTTCAGCTGACCAGTTTCTGGCTCTCCTGCCCGAGCTGGCCCACAGGGACACCACATCTGCTTCTCAAGGCCACTGTACTCATGGCCTGGTTCCTACCCTGCATTCCCGAATCTCATGTTAACCACTGTTACAGTTCATGTCTAAATGTCCCTCCAAAGCCTCCTGTGGTCCCAGCTGGGGCTTTAGGGAGGTGATTGGATCACGGGGACATGATACTCATCAGAAGATTAGTCCTTTTTTCCTGATATTAATAGTGCAAGATGTTATTTAAATTAATAAGTTGGAGTCTGGGTTGAATATTCGAGCCTGTTTTTGACAATTCCTTAACAGTGTGTGTGTGATAGGGTTTTATGTCTGCCTCCCTGTCTGTCTTGTTACCACATTTTTAGGAACCTGCATCTCGTTTTCACAGGGGTTTTTTGTTTTTATTTTATATTCTCATGGTTTGTTCTCTTTGAATGCTTTTCCACAGGCATCCAGAGAATTTTGTTCTCTGTTGGCAGAAAATTGTCCTCTTGGAAATCGTGGGAAAAGCCAATTCTTGTTTTCAGATACAAAAGCTGCATTTTCTGGTAACTTTACCAGACTCCTCCAGCTCCTTTAGAAGGACTGGAGCCAGGTTTTCTGCTATTCTGCTCAGAAAACCCACTGTTTGGGGTCTGAGCCAGGCCCTGCACCCCCGCTCCTGGCGAACGAACCCCTCACTCTGAAGCAGTCGCCCACGAGGCCTCTTCAGGCCTTTGGCTCACGGTGGCCGGCAGGGCCCTCGGAAACAGAGCCTAAAGAACACTTTCTCCGTTTTTCTGGTTTTATTTCAGACCAAAAGCCATATCTGAAATATAGCAAAGAAAAAAAAAAAAGAATTAAAGCTTGACAAGCCCAGTGTTGGTTGCTGTTCACTATTAATTCAACTTTCAAAAAGGTGCACATGACACCCATTTGTGGCACCACGCCTGCCCTGTGGTTGTGGAGTGTGAGACCCCCATATCTCAGGACCTGAGGAGTGAGAAGCTGCGCCTGGGGGTGCACTCCGTCCCTCTTTTGTTGGTGGGGGGGGAGGTTGCTTTGTTTTTCTTTTGAGACAGGGTCTCGCTGCGTAGTTCAGGCTGGCCTTGAACTCACTATGTAGCCCAGGCTGCCCTTGAACTTGCAGTGATCTTCCTGCCTCAGCCTCCTGAGTACTGGGATGACAGGCATGCTCCACCACGCTCGGTGATGTCTGCCTCTTTTGACCAGAGTAAAAATTGTACCCTCCTTGTGGGGATTGGTGAGTCTGAGGGAAGAACACACTCATGTGTGCATACTCACACGTGGGCACGTAGATACAGCCACACATGCACATGTAGAGGCACACACATCTGCACACACAGGCAGACATGCACAAACGTGCGCTCAACCGATACACACTCAGAATTTTTCTTTTGGTATCTGGGATCAAACTCGGGTCCTTACGCTTCTGCGCCAGGCGGAAGAATACACTCAGAATTTTTGACATCATTGCAGGAATTATTGAAATAATACAAAGAACTCCTGAACTTCACCTAGCTGCACCCATTACTAGCATTTTGCCCTATATATTACTGTCTTCAGATGTCCAAGTGTATGTATGTATGTGTATTGTATGTATTTGTGCATAAATTAATAAATTACATGTTGTGAGTTAGCCCAGTAAGCTGTAGATACCACCCCACTTTGCTCCTCAATAAGTTCAGTCAAAATTGGGGAATTTAGAGCCAGGCGTGGTGGCACCCACTTGGCATCCCAGTAGGTGGGAGCCTGAGGCGGGAGGATTGCTGCAAGTTCGAGGGCAGCCGGGGCTACAAAGTGAGTTGAAGGCCAACCTGAACCGAATAGTGAGATCCCGTCTCCAAAGGGGGTGGGGGCTAGCATGAATGAACTACAGTACTGTTACCTGACTTCCAGACCTGACTCACATTTGACCATTTGTTCTAGGAATGCTGGCTTAGTTTATGTCCCACCGCCAGCTTCCGTTCAGGGTTGTGATTCATGTCTCCTGCATATCCTGTGGCCTCTCAGCCTGCCTCTGCCTTGCTCCTTTTTATAGGGTGTCCCTCGAAGTGGGCTGTCTGATGTCCTCCTCCTGGTCAGCCTACACGTGGACCTGGGTGCCAGGCCGGCCAGGCTGGGTTCTTCCAGGGCATGGGATCAGGGGGCACATGTTACCCGAGTTAGGAGAGGGATGCTTTCCTCCCTTCCAGTAGTCTTCAACCCCACCCTGCAAGGGCCCTGGACGAAGGCGCATCCCACCTATGGGACGGAGCCCCTCAGCGGGACGCTCCCTGGAAGGGGCTGCGAGTGCAGTGTCCTCCCATTACGCAGATCCTTAGGCCAGCTCCTGGGCCCTGTGCATTTCCAGTGAGCACATCCGCTTTGGTAAGTGCTTCCGCCTGGGGACCAGGTAGCCTGGCACTATGCAAGCTGGGGCCGACCAGTATGGCCCAACCACATGCCTTGTACAACAGAGGGCCAGGAGGGCACTGTTGGGAAGGATGGAAGCCCTGGGTGCCTCTACCTGGCCTGGACCCTGTGGTGCTGTGATCAGTGGAGACCTGGGCCAACTCTGAGACTGCAGGGACCCGGGAGGAGGCTCCAGTCAGGACTGGGGCTGCTGGGAGGAGACGCAGCGGGATGCTTTGCGTCCCTGGAGCTGTGTGAGCAATGGCACCCTGCTTCTGAGAGGGCGGGTGGGTGGGGTGTAGAGGAGTAGATCCAGCCCCGGGCTCGGCTCCAGCTCAAGGATGCGCTGCTGAAATGAATCACAGAAGTGGTTCACGGGGTTGTAACAATGCTGGGGTGATGTATGTGGGGCCCGGGTGAGAGCGCTGAGGCTCTTCCCTTCACCTGCAGCCTAGACAGGGGCCGCGCCGCAGGAGGAGGTGTTGGGGACCCCCAGGCCCACCTTTTCCCCTGTGTGCACCCTGTAGGCCTGCTGCAGGTAGGCGTGGGCTGAGTACAGGGTGTGAGCAGCTCTGATGCCAAAGCAGACCAATTTGTGGCTCCACACGGCCACTCTGGTCACAGGCTGACCTGCACTGTCCCCGTGGGTTTAGTAAATGCAACATGAGGATTGTTACTGTTCGACCAGATGTGCTCACTTTCCCCGAAGTTGGAGCCACCATCCACTCACAGACCCTCTCCACGTCCTCTTTAGACTGCAGGACCCGGGGGCAGTTCAATGCATTTTCCTACCACTTCCGAGGCAGACGGTCCCTGGAATTCAGCTACCAGGAGGACCAGCCGGCCAGGAGAACCAGGCCTCAGAGGGGACTGAGGTTCGTGTGTCTAGGAGGGGGAGCAGGGCTGGGGGGTGCTGTCCACTCTGTTCTTTGCTCGGACAGTTTGGGTACTGCAGGGACATCCTGGAGTGGGTGTTAGGGTGCGGAAGAGTCTTGCAGCCTGTGCCCAGCTGGGCCGTGCTGGCTGCAGCTCCTGAGTGCCGGGCATAGGAGGAAGGACACTCCAGAAGCCTGCAGAGGTGACATTTCTCTGCCTCTCCTGCTTTCCCCCTTAGTGTCGGAAAACACAGCAAACACAAGGGCAACACCTCGGCGGCACTCTTTGAGCACTCAGAAGGCCTGGCCACAAACGACTTCAAAGAATTTGTCCTGGAAATGCAGAAGACCATCACAGAGCTCAGAAAGCAGGTAACACCACCTGTGCCACGTCCTGCTCCTTACCCTGCAGATCTTCCCCATGGCTCACCTCTTTCCTGTCCAGGAAGTGTGGTGTGTCCAGCCTGCCCAGTGCCCTCTCAGGCATCCTCTCCTCGGCTTTGCCCTTCTCCGTTGCTCACCTCTGCCAGGTCTGTGCGACTGAGCTCTCCGGGTTTCCCAGCTGGCCAGGGACTTGGCAGTAGGCATTTAGTGTTGCAGGCTCAAATTCACAAAAAGCAGGTGTGGAATGATGTGGGAAATGACAGACTCTACTTCCTGTTCCCAGACCACTTTTCAGGAGCAGCTTTGGAGTGGCTGTCATTGGCAAGTGGTGCCCATGCACGGCTCTCCTCCCTCCCAGCCCCCAGGAACTGGCTTCTGCCTCTTCCTAGGTCATTTTCCTAACCGTGTGGAGTTGAGATATCAGGCTAGAGGAGCACGTGCACTCACCAGGTGGTGGTGCCTTCCCTGGTGCTTGGGATTTGTGGGTGCAGCTCTGTTCCTGCTCCTGAGCTCCTCACTTTGAGAGAAACTGGTGTATTCACCACTTTCCTGTTGCTGGGACAAAAATACTCCACACCCACAACTTACAGAACAGGTTTAATTTGGCTCACAGTTTCAAAGGGTTCAGTCCATGGTCAGCTGGTTCCAAGACAGAAGAACATGGTGAAAGGACCTGGAGGAGGAAAGCTGCTCAAACCATGGTGTCCAGGAAGCAGGGAGAGCAGGGAGGAGCCAGGGACAAGAAGGCACCTTCCAGGTCACACCCCAGTGACCTCCAACCAGGCCCCACCTCCTACAGCACACTCAGCCCTGAACTCACCCATGGAAGAATCCACTGATGAGCACAGCTCCCCATAGTCCATCACCTTCCACCTTCATCCATGAGACTTTGGGGGACATTTTAGATCTAAACCATAACAAGAGATCATCTGCCAGTATGGCCCTGACGTCCCTGGTCTCAGGGGTGGCTTCTGCCCCTTCTGTGCCCCTAGCTCCTCCATCTTGCAGATGCAGGTGCCAGGCCACAGATGCAGAGACCAACCCTTGTAGACGTCAAGGTGGTGACAGACGGAGGTGTCCTGGGGACCTGACAGGGGCTGCAAGCCCCAAGGAAGTCAAAGTGGGCCAGGTGGACCGGTGCCTCTCAAAGGTCCTACTTACAGCACAAAGGAGCAGCACTGCCCTGGGCAGTGGTGCAGGGAGCTCGAAATACAGAGCATCTTTTTACAGGCAGCCATGGCTCAGCTTGGAAGCATCCAGACTTGGTCCCCTCTCTGGCATCTGGGCATGACCACCCATCCCCGAGGACCACTGAGGCATGCACGGGCCAGCTTTGTCCATGCTTGTCTGGGCTTTGGGTTCAAGCAGGGTTGGCCACAGATGCCTGGGGCCTGGCAGGATGGACAGGTCTGGCCGCCACTGGCTGCTGAGGACACAGGAACACTCCCTCTTGTCTTCATGGGTTTGATGACAAGTTTTTAAGATTTTAGTGACTTAAATATCAATCATTCTAATGAATGATTTGTACAGAAGAGTTGCTTTCATTTAGGAGCCAAGTGAATCTGAGATGTTTCAAAAGGTGAATAGTTGTTCAACTAATTAAATCTTAGACAGCTGCTCTTCAAGGGTAGAATACCTTAAAATACAGAGAGGAGGGGATTTCTTGGTGGGGTACCAGGGATTAAACCCAGGAGCTTTGCGCTAAGCTATAACCCCAGCCTGCCCCCCTTTTTTTTGAGACACGATCTTGCCAAGTTGTCCAGGCTAGGCTTGAATTTAGGATTCTCCTGCCTCAGCCTCTCAGAGTGCTGGGATTATAGGCATGTACCACACACCTGGCAGAGGTGATTTTGACAGTGGGGCAGCATGAGTTTGCACACCTGAGGGCCCATGCTTCTGCACATAATGGGCCTGCACGTCTGCATGGCAGCTGTTGCAGGAATGGTGTGGATGCAGCGGCTTTGTCATTCACCTTGTATGTGGCTGCTGTCACCTATTACCTAAGCGGACAGCTGACCCACTGCTGCACACAGCTCACGAGAAAGCTCATTCCAAGAATTGGGATGCCCACTCCAGATCACCATAACCGTTCCTTTAAGCTCAGTTGCAGCCCACAGAAAACCCAAAGTAAGAACAGATCCCAAGAGGCGCAAGCTGTCTTTGCTCAGGGGGTCCAGGCTGCTGGTCCTCTGCAGAGGTGGGACCCCAGCTGCATCTTATTCTGGTGGGTGACCCAAGGGCCTCCAGCTGTGTCACCCCGTCTGCACCCCCAGCAGTGCGCAGGAAGTTGACTACCAAGGATCCTCACGTCAGGAATCCCCAACCCTTTCAGGAAACTGGAAGTGAGTGGCGGGCAGGTGGGCAAAGCCTCTGTATTTCCAGCCATACTGGGTCACTGGCATCCCAGGCTGAGCGCCACCTCTATCAGATGGGTGGGCATTAGACTTCACAGGAGTGTGAGCCCTACTGGGAACTGCGCATGCAGGGATCGAGGAATTAATACAGTAACAGTGGAAACGAAGTGCATTGTGTGATAATACTACAAACAGTACAGAGTGTGAAAATACTGGAAATAAAGTGCACAACAAATGTAATGTACTTGAATCATCTCGAAACACCTTCCACCCCCACCTGTCCCTAGAAAAATTATCTTCCACAAAACCAGTCCCTGATGCCAGTCAGCTGGGGACCTCGGCCCCAGGGGACCCCTGCCTCTCCTGTCACATCCCGTGAGCCACACAGTCATACTGTTGTGCCTCACTTCCAGAGAAAATCAGAGCTCTGTTGCTGGGAACGTGCCTGGACCTGACAGTTATGGTCATTCGCTCTTCGGAAAACCTAAGTGCAGGATGTTCTTTAGATTGATGACAGGTTTGTGGAGTCCAGGCGCCTTCTGTCTTTGCATAACCACTCTGCAGACCCGGTGGCCTCCTCTGTCAGGCAGCATGGTGTCAGGCATCCGATTGTGATGCTTTCCGACCCCCTCACCTGTCTCACCGGCGTTTGAGATTCCACGAGGGGTCTTGGGTATCTGCAGGCATCATCTAAAGGGAGACGCACCCTGTATGAGTCCCGTGCTGTGGCTCTGCCGTGACCAGGGCGGCTCTGTGCCTCTGCAGATAAACAAGCTTGAGTCCCGGCTCAGCGCCTCGGAGTGCGTGGACATGGACGGCGAGTCGCACACCAACAACACAAAGTGGAAAACGGATGCCTGCACCACATGCGAGTGCAAAGTGAGTACGGGGCCTGTATGGCTCCCCACATCCCCCTGGGGCAGGGTGGCCCGGGGATCAGGGGCCTCCAGGAACCCACCGATCCCTACTAGGTGCACTGCAGAGAAGGTGCTGGTTGGCCCAGACCCACGGCATCTGTCCCACCTCAGGAAGGTTCCCACCTCAGGAAGGTTCCCACCTCGGAGCCTGTGCACAACAGCCCAGGCTCCTCTGGCACAGGCCACACAGCCCATCCAGTTCTGCCCAGGGTGCATGGCTCACCTGGGCAGAAGGGAGACAGTGGGCAGGTGGGCGTGCCAGGTCTGAGTAGGGAGCAGAACCCTGGCTGGCAGGGCAGGGGTGATGAGGGCCTGTCTGGGACCTGTGGATGCCAAGGATAGGTTTGTCTCTCTGTCAGGGATATGAGGGTGGCATCCAGCGTCCCTGGGCTGGTCTCCCTTGGGAAGGACAGACTGGGTCCCCTTACCCTTCTCTCTGTCCCCCACCTTCCCAGTGGGGTCACAGCCTGTGGCATGGGTTCCCATCAAGGTGATGGACAGAAAGTGAGGAGCACGAGTCCCTGGAAGAAGGGGCTGTCGGCCTTAGCTAGTGCCTGTGTGCAGCCCAGAAGCCCCCAGAATCGCCGCTCTGGTGCAGCTGCAGGAGAGGCGAGCCTGTCGTTCTTGGGCACAGGCCTGGGGTTCACCATGAAAAGCAGGGCCACGGCCAGGGCTGGCTCAGAGCTGACAGCCAGGCACGTCTTCCGCCCCTCCAGGACGGGCAGGTCACCTGCTTTGTGGAAACCTGCCTGCCAGCCTCCTGCCCAGCGCCCATGAAAGCCGAAGGCACATGCTGTCCAGTCTGCCCAAGGGAAACCCCGGAGGAGAAGCCCTAGGCACTGGTGAAGCCCCTCGGGTCATCTTCATGTCTTCGGGAGATGGCATGGCCGACAGCAAGGACCAAAGGCTACACCAGGACTGAGACCCGCCAGGACCTCCAGCCAGGTCTCAGGGTACAGTACAGGCTGCTCAGGCCCGTGTCCATGCCAAGGAAACAGAGCAGACAGGAAGGGGGCAGACACGTCCTCACTACGTGTCAGACTTCTCAGGTTTTTATTTAATTCTTTCAACATGAAAATTGGTGCTACCATTCAATTGCACAGTTCTATCTTTAGGCTCCTAAATTGACTCAAGCTCCTGAGAATCCCTTTTCATTGGAGCAGGGTCCCTCTGCATGAGCCTTGTGCCTGTGTCTGGGGCCAGGAGGTCAGGCAGGCGGCACCCATCCTGTGAAAGGAGTCCTGGCAACATCTGGGTGACATCACAGGCTACACTGAAAAAGAAAATCCACTTTTGGCAAAAGGAACAGGATCTTTGAAGAGAGCGTTTTACTGGGACACTCGGGTCCCTGCTCCTCCTCCCTGTCTGCCCTCTTCCCACTGTGGGGTCTCTCACATTTCTCAGCTCATCACCATTTAACAGAGCCGTTGTTCCTCCCCCGACGCCAGTCCTGCTCCTTGCACACGTGACTGTCACATTATTAAGCCACATTTAGAAATGGGCTTGTTTCCACCCAGCGTGCCCCCGGCCAGCCTGCCTGTGACCCGGACATGGAGCCTCGTTCCGTGTCACGTGTGGCAACTTCCAGTGACCACGTGCTTGGCAGGCAGTCTGCAGCCTGGATGTCCATCCATCCCCGACCGTGGCACGCACGCGCAAGACCCACCCTCCTGATCTTCCCCAGGTGACAACGCAGGGGGAGCTCGACAGTGAGGAACTCTGTAACTTCACATTGTGTGAACCCTTTTTAAAAAATCAATCCCTATACCTCATGTGTACTTTTCAAAGGCATCATGTTTTTTGAAAATTTACCCATTTTTTTTCAGGTGTGGACTATGGCAGAAAAATCATTTCCACTCTGCAAAAGTTGTTTGAGAATTTAGTGAAAACCAACTATCATACCTCATGGTCTGTCTTTTTAATTGACCAAAACCTTCCATTTTGTCCTGAAAACAAGGCAATCTGTGTTCTGAGGGACATTCCCCCCGAACATGCAAGTTTTGATCAACACTCATTTATTTGCCCATGAGCCCTGTGTGCCAGGCACTATGAGTACCCCAGATGCCAGCACAGGGACCATCTGCCCAGGAGATAAAGACCCTGAAGGCACAAGTGTCATAGTGAGACATTACCCGTTGGGAACAGCAGCTGGCACATACGGGCACTTGAGAGTGTGGTGTGATTTGGGTGTGATGTCCATGCTCTGATGAGCTCCCTTCCCACAGAAAGGGACATCAGAAGCTGAGTGTGCAAGCCACTGAGAGTGAGCAGCCTACAGTGGCTTCCTCGAGGGTGTGTATCTTGAGTTCTTATCTGCACATTGCTAAGTGGTAAATAAAACCTGCTTGGTGTTTCCTGGGCCGGGCACTTCTTTTGAAATATTAAATCAAACTTGGCGATCCAAATCTTGGGAGAGATTTCTGTAAAGTAGGCAACATATGAGTCTGTCAAAATGGGATGGTATGAAAGTTGCTCAAGTGTAAGAGTGACAGCAGAGTCTGTTCTGGGGTGCTTTGCTGTCTCGTGTGTGCCTGGGGGCGCCTGAGGCCTCTCGATTTTGACAGCACGCACACTGGTAGAGCAGCCAGTGGGCAGGTAGGTGTCTGGGGTTCTCAGTCTCTAAACAAAAGAGGGGAAGCTGACTGTGATTTACATCAAATTCTGTAATTCAACCCAAAATGCCCGAGAGTCACCACTTTGATGATGTTGTATCCTCATACCAAGACAGGGGCAGTGCCTGGTCATGAACTCTTCTTAGCAGCCACTGTGAGGGGATTGCTGTAACAGGAAGCAAAGTGTACATATTTATTTACTTTTCTAACCATTGCTGACAGCCAAGTGCCTTTTTTTATGTTCATTGTATTCAGTACTTTACCAAAGAGACATTTGCACTATGTAACGATGCCTTTCGGTTTAAATAAAAGGGCCACCTTGTCAAGTGGAGAATGTTCTCTTTTTCTCTCTCTGGAAATGATAAATAAGGCTGTAGCTTGTTTGCCAGGCAACCTCAAAGGCTGACCAGGAGCAGAAGTAGAGCCTAGACAGAAGCCCAGAGTTGCACTGGTCAGTGTTCTACAGAAAAAATGTGAGAGGGGATTAGGTGAAATGCACCATCACTTTGGAGGAAGAGAGGGTGCTTTCATTTAGCTGGACGATGACTTTTATAGATCCTGGGCAGGATCTGCAAAATAGTTAGGAGAAGTCTTCTGCATTTTCCCCGGTGTGGACAAAGACACTCGTTTGTCGGAGAGGAAGTCTGTGGTGGGGGTGACCCTGGAGGGCTGGTGCGGGGTTGGCTTCTTCCTCAAAGCAGGAGCACACACAGGTGACTACAGGACACATCTGTGCAGCTCTGCAGCACACAGCGGTGACAACTTTTCGTCCCCTGAGCTTCAGTCTGGAAGGGGGAGAGGACACTGATTCGAGAAAAACTGGGAAAGATTTGAGGGTGTTGACGGGATTTGACAATATTGTCACAGGGTCTGGGGGGAAAATCACACTGCTTACATAATTATCATAAGAAAGATGACCCGTGAGGGAAAACTTAAGTATCAAGTTTTTAAATTGCCAAATCGCTTCAAAATTGTGGCGAGAAACTAACTCATGGTTCATTTAAAGACTCCAGTGGCTCCTTCTCCCAAAGTGACAGATGTGAGGTAGAAATTTCTGGGTGATATGGATAGGTTTCCATTCCACTCAGCCTTGAATTTTTTGAGATTGTTGTGAAACTACCAAGAAGAAAACAGCAGTGCGGACAGAACGGGCCAGTCCAACACTAGCCAGACCCCTGTGCTGTCCATCCCTCCCCAAGACTGCCGTTTCCGAGTTCTCTTCAGCACCCAGAGGACTGTCACCAGAACACCAAGCAGTCCGCACTCTTGAGCTCTCAGGTATCAAGCTGATGCCTTTGTACTGGAAACCTTCTCTTGCCAGAGCTGCTTTCATTTAGGATTACGGGTAACAAATATTCTCAAAGCCTGGTGAGGACTGGTTTTATATCTGTGGGATTCATTAAAAATCACTTCCTCTCCATCTGCTATTACAGTTTGTCTGTTTTTCTTTGCCCAAAGAATTAGAAATCCAGAGGAAGGAAGCCAAGGTTGAAAATCCCGGCCCCTTTTCCATTGTGTTCCTACTGCATCCTAAAAGTTTCCCTAACTTAACAAAGAGATCTCAAAGTGAATTATTTTGCCATTATAATTCTGAATCTCAGCCTGTCGCTCTCTGCCTGGAAACCATCTCAGAAACAGCTTCATTGTGGCTGGTTTGGGGTTAATGAGGGAGAAACTATTTCCTCCCCTTTTATCCTTTGTAATAGCTGTTCAAACATTAACCGTGAAGTGGTGTGGCTTTCCTACTTAGAGAGGTTTAGGGAAGTAAAGAACAGAAATCTGATTTTCATTCTACTTTATTTCCTTTTCTGACATTAAGCCTAATCTTAAGTATCTCGGAAAATCATCTTTTCCATGTGTTTCACCAAAACCAAATCTCTCTCTAATGATTATTCACCCACAGTTAAAAGCCCTAAAATAAATAACCCCATGCCATCATGGTTCCGTGATGTCTAATCATCTACATCCTTCCCGGCATGCAGACTAATTTTCTTGTTTGGTCTTCACTGAGCACAAGGAGCTACCAAGGAGCACAGCTTACAGCTGTTTTGGAGGGGGTTTCTGGACAGCACTCGTGTTTATGTTCTTAAAAAATGACACACCAGGAATTATCTCAGAGGAGGACCAGCAGTCTTCATTTCTTATAGTTGTGACTCAGATCCCCAGGGGCGAGGGGCAGAGTGCTGGATTTTTACAGAGGTCCACGGGAGCTGGTGGGGGCACTCTCTCCTCTACCACCTCTACAAATGCTGGACCCAAGATTCAAACCCATTCCCCTGACCCCAAAATCAGCCTTGCATTGGTTCCACCAAACTGAAAGAAAGTGAATGTCCACATTGAATTTTTTTTTTTTTTTTGGTACTGGGGATCAAACTGGGGTCCTTGTGCTTGCACAGCAGGCGGCGAAACCACTGAGCTAAATCTCCGGCCCCACATTGAATTTAAATTTGATTTTTTTGCCTGCTCTGCCCTGAGTATTGATAGGACTTCCCCGGCTCCTTGGTCCTTCCTTGGGTGCAGGAGACAAAATACTTCAGTCTCAGGAATCTGAATGCCAAGGGTGCAGCTTTACTTTCGCTGAGCTGCCGTCCTGACTTGACCTTGCTATGTCCTCCTATTTTTTTGAGAGTTCATCATACAGATAACATGAGGTGTCCACATCCGTGTTTCCACACAGATCCAGATGTGGGCTGTAGTTCTGCTTCCGGTCACTTCAGTAGAGGTCTGGCTCAGGAACCCCACCACCCCGTATCTCACAGTTGCTGGCTGTGTCTTCATGCAGGCAGGAAGAGGAGACGCCGGAACTCTGGGCTTCCTTCACAGGCTTGATTAAAGACAATAAAGTTATAACAAGAAATGACCCCATCTGACTGGAACATCTGGAGATTAGAGGCCGAAATCTGACAGCATGGGTCTCCAGAGGCCAAGAGTATGTGTAAGACGCGGTGCACCTGGATCCAGAGTGCTCATTGCAGCCCACCTGGTCCTGGGCCCCACATACCACATCCTGTGGTGCTGAATTCCCATGGGCCTCAAGACACACCTTCCCCACCATCGTTAGCCTGCCCTCCTGGAGATCCTCCAGGATCTCCTCCTGTCACTGGAGATCTCCCTCCGTCTCCCCTGTGGCTCACCACCACAGCACAGGTGACCGATTGGTCTCCAGAACACATCCAGAGTGAGCTCTGCACTCGGCTTGGTTCTCACCAAGAGTCACCATCACCCTCCCCAGTGCAGCTCTTGTCTCAAAGAAAAGCACATACTCATCCTGTCTTCACCACCGTGGATTCTGAGCTTTATTCCATCCTTGTTACTGATTCTGCACCAACTCGGTGCCAATAACCCTGTTACCTTTGAAGCTGAAAGCCTTTATTTGTGGACTGATATAACGCAGTTCTTTTGCTTTTTCCAAATAACAGTAACATGAACACATAGGATTTGGACCAGCTGAGTCTCTGTCCATTGTTCCTGATGCTCCAGTGTAACCCACTGGAGCCTGGACTGCTTCATCTGTAAAGTCATCTAGCTATGTAAGATGCTTTTTGATTAAACAAGGCCATGCCAGTGGGGACGAGAAGTGCAGGAGTGGGAGTTGGCTGTGGATGAGCCGCACTCTCTGCATCCCATCCAGGCTGTGGAGACAGGCACTTGTGATAGCGATGGAATGGGCCATGCTCTCAGGGCCGACAGTGGGTCACACAGTGCTGCCATCTGCAGGGGGATTGGGGAACTCACTCTTCTAGATAAAGCCCCTGGAATTCTTGTTGGCTGTACTCTGCAGATAAGTATGTCCTTGTCCCCATGTAGAAGGGGCTGAAGCATGGTCAGGGCTTTGTTCTCCCTGCTAAAGCAGGCAGCATGGTGACCTCAGTCTGTGGCTGGGACCATGGGTGCCCAAGTAAGAAATGGTTATTCCTCTCCCAACTCTTATTTATTGTTCATCCAGCGAAATGTGGGCCAGCCACTACTGTGGGCTCTGGGCGAGTATGAACGGCTGTGGGCCTACAGTGGATAAAGACTGCAGGATGTAGACTGGTATAGGCTGCATATGGGCTCCATATAGGCTAGATATGGAGTGGGTATGGATGATATACAGAACACAGGCTGGATGTAGACTACCCAGAGACAGGTAAGATTAAATGCACAGTATGGGTTAGAGAGGATAGATGTGGGCTACAGACAGAATACGTATAGATAGGATATAAACTAGACTGGAGATAGGCATAGATTGGATATGGGCTATGGGTTAGATACAGAGGAGATGGGGCCGGGGATTTAGCTCAGTGGTTCCACCACCTGCCTCACAAGCAAAAGGACCCGAGTTCGATCCCCGGTAACAAAAAAAACAAAAACAAAAAAATAGATACAGAGTAGAAGTAGACTATGTACAAAATATATGTAGACTGAATATGGACTGTAGACTGGGTATAGATGGGTATAGATTGAATATAGACTAGAAGTAGACTATGTACAAAATATATGTAGACTGAATATGGACTGTAGACTGGGTATAGATGGGTATAGATTGAATATAGACTAGAAGTAGACTATATAGAATACAGAATACGTATAAACGTAGATCAAGGATATAGACTATATATTGGATATAGATAGGTATAGATGGGATACAGACTATGGGTTCAGATGTAGGGCAGATGTAGATGGATTATACCCTATAAATAGCAAGGCTGGAAGCCACTCTTTCAGGAGCTGGATGGAGAGAAGACAAGCAGGAAGGGTGGTTCTCGGGATCTCCATGGTTGAGGATGTGCAGGACCATGCAGGGGCCTTCCTGGGAGCCAGGAGAACTGCCTAACAGTCCGTACAGCTGGGGCAGGGTTGGGGCAGCTGTCCTGGTGGGATGGAGGCATGGTGTGGCAGGAGAGGAATCCGTTTCCAGGGGAGAGGCCACTTAGCAAGCCCACTTGTCTCAAGAGCTTGACTGCTCAGTGCTCCCAGAAGCCCTTGGGCTCTGAAACAGGAGTATTCTGCATGGTGGCAGTCCCCACACCAAGGAAGGCCCTGGCCCCCTCCAACTGCAGGGTGGCAGGAAGGCTCCCCCGTTGGGCCCCTGCCACCAGGCTGGTGGAGGGTCTGAGCAGAGTGCTGGGTCAAGGACTGGGCACTGCACAGTGGGATCTGGACCCCAGGAGGACAGGGACCAGGCTCCTCAACAGAGGGGAAGGCACAGGGCAGCGAGGCTTCGGGTCAGGAAGGCACAACACCAGATGCTCACAGGATGCCAGGCTGAAAGGGAAGAGGCCTTGTCCTCCTGCAGACACATGGGCTGAGAAATTCCTGGCACTGGGACACTGCAACCTACTCTTCTCT